TCTTATACAGCTTCCTCTCAGACCCTTCACCATCCTCATGGCCCTTCTATGGATGATTTCTCACAGCTCTATATCTATTTTATATTGTGGTGACCAAAACTGCATGCAGCACTTGAGGTGAGTCCTTTTGGATTGCAGCTCAGTGTCAATACAATGTAACAAAATGTTTATACATTTTATATATTTTTATATACATATATATATAAATTATATTATTAAAATATGTGAAATACATTTTTATGAATAAGACATATACATTTTGTATGTCATAAAGTTGTCTGTGTCCTCTGGAAGATTTGCTTTAGCAGTTGTTCAAGAAGGATGGGGATGTCTTCTGTTTTTCACAGATTCTTTTACATATTGCAGAGTTTAGAAAGCATGTGTAATTTTGTAATATCAGTGCTAATGGCTTTGATGTAAATCTGCCTTGAAATGGGATGAAGTGCATTCAGAACTGTATTGAGCCCTGAAACCAAGAGCAGGGCACCACAAAAGCAGCATTTCAAGCAGGTCTGAATAAATGAAATCGAGTATGGCACAGCACTGGGAATCATCTGCTGGCCTGTGGACAAATACAGGCTCCATCAGGAAATCCTGCCTTCGAGCCAGTTTTGCTGCTCTGCTGGTGATGTGATAGCTGAATCCACAGGGTTATTTGTGCCTCTGGCAAGAAGCTTAGAAACAAGGCTGCAGGCAGGTTTCAGATAGCTGTGAGCTCGAGATAGCTGTAAGTGCTGAGTTGCACATCCAGCCTCTGCCTGGCGAGTGGAGATTTTTATTTTCAGTTCTGTTGAGATGTAGGTGCGCAACTCAACTGCCTGGCTTTGGGCAGCTGTACGGCTGTGGTGAGCCTGCTCCCCAAAAATGCAAGGAAAGAAGGTGTAAAAGGAATGCAGTAGGAGCTTGTGCTGGTTTGTTTTGGGAGAAAGTTCCCCCTGCCGCCCCCCCTCCCCCTTTTAATACTGCCTTACAGTTGCATGCCGAGAATATTTGTTGTATATCCACAAGACAATAAACTTAATTAGTTAAAATCTCCTGTGTTCTGATTGACTGCCAGTTTCCAAAGTCCATCTGGAAAGACATGGGAGATAACATTTGTAAGGCAAGGCTATCTGGGCTTGCAGAGTATTTTTTCAATTAATTTCTGCCTAGGGATTGGCTGTGACACTTATCCACTGGCAAACCTAGTTTCAGATTTCAGCTTTAAAATATAATTGGCAGCTCAGCAAATTCATAAAATTGATCCCCATTCACACTTATTTTTGGCTTGCGTTAAGAATGTGCCAACCTGGAACTCTAAACTTAACCCCGAGTGACTTTCCCAGGGCTGCTGCCCCGAAAGGAAAGCCTGGCAGCAGCGCCTGGGCCCCAGCCAAGATAAATCCTGAGCCGCCCATGGCAGGGCAGCCGCAGCTTGAACTGCAGGTGAGGGGAGAGTAAAGAGATGGAATAAAGGGTAGATTTTGTAAAATGCTGTTATTCTGCATTTGTGTCTCACCGCTGCACAGGCTGACACGCTGTAGGCTCTCTGTCTGAGCTGCTGTGTGCCCCTGCAGGGTGCTGGAGCGCGGCCGCAGCCCGGACTCCGGGAATGAGCGCTCAGCAAGCCCCGCGTCCAGGCGGCAGGAGCAGTAGCCTTGGCTCGGCCGGTCTGACCGGGCCTCAGCCGCAGGCTCGGGGCTTCTTCCAGCCTCTCAGGCCGGTCCCGGCAGAGCAGCGTCCGTGCCGAGCGGAGCTGAGCCTGTGCCGCGCAGCCCCGTCTGTCCCGGCCCTCCCGCCGCTCCCGAGCGCGTTCTGCTGCCGGGATTTCCCCCAGCGCCCGGCCCCGGCGGTCAGAGCCGCCCTCGGAGCAGCAAATCCCGCTTCCAGTGCTGCCACATCGACACCTTCTGGTGGACTTGGCCATCGTCTTTTCGAGAAAAACGGTGTTGGTGCGTGTCTTAGGGATGTCAATTGCGGGACATTCCCTAGGGGCTTCCATTTGGCCGTGAGAAAATCCAAACATGAGAACATCAAAGAGCAAAGTGCAGAGGCTGACCTAAACCAGTGTCTCCCAAATACCATCCCCGGTAGCCTGTCAATATCATACAAGATGAACAGAAATAACTGTTGATTATTTTTTCTACTGATGTAGAAAAGTGGATTCTCTGCCCTGTTTTCGATAATATTGTTTATTTGACTTCAATTTAAACTGGTATTCACTTTTTTTCACTTTCTGCAAGGCTTAAATATGACCTAGGGAAGATGCTCTGAAAATTTAAAGATCTTCCATCTGCTTCTTTAAGTGAAGCCAGGGCTCCAAATCCACCACATGTCATACATTACATTATGAACAAAAGGATATGCAGATGCTGAAGTTCTCCGAGAATGCTTCCCTGCTGGAAATAACATTTTTACAAGCTTCTGTATTCACTTCAACCTCTTCCTAACAGGACCTCCTGTGGGGAGAACTCAGAATTTCTCATTCTGATGATGGTTTTGAGTAACACTTATAATTGTCTGCCAGTGCCTGTGTATATTTTGGCAATAACAAATCTTCCCTGCTAAATTTTCCTTAGCGCCACTTTTGGAGCGGCAAGGGGTGGACTGCAGCCTTTGCCAGGGCATCATGGCAGTTCTGAGGATTTAGATTTCCTTGTAGCTGGAGAATGTGGTATTATTTAATTAAGTGGATTTTGTTGGTTACCAGTTCAAGTGGTAAAAGCCATCACATTCCTCTGGTCTTCTCCTGCTGTCCCCCTTGGCAAGCCTCGGTTGTTCTTTAGTCCTTGTAGGCAGTTCTGGTCTCTGCACAGCTCTTCTCCTGACCATGACAGGAGAACTTTAATTTCTGTAGTAAAATGAAGTCTAATCTGGAAATTAAATCACCAGACGGTGAAGTTATCTTTGTCTTGACTTTGTGTTTAGTGTTGTAGCTAATTTGGTTACTACAGCTGATCTGCTTCTTATTTAGCACTTTTCTCAGTTGTTTAGAGTCTCTGCAGATATTAAATTACAGATTCTAAATTCAGCAAGCTTAGAGCCGCAGGAGAGCTGGGCCTACTTTGCTCAGTCTTGTAACTGTGCAGATGGGTGGCAGACACCTTTTTCAGTCTTACTTTGCGCAGCAGTTCCTTTCCAAGGTTCATCCTACCATATGTAACATTGCTTGCTCCTTCAAGCTCTACTATTCATTAATTGTATTTCATTTCTTTTTGTTCTTTACTTGAGAAAATCTACTTGTTCAGTGTGGCACTTTTTTTTATGCCATCCATATTTTGCTGCCTGCTCCTAGTTTATGTTTTTCTTCTGCCATTAAGCGTGCTGATACCCATTTGTCTTCTGTATGGAACCAGCAGTGTTAGTAATTCCCTTCAATGCCCAGACTAGGGAATTGTAGGTGCAATGGAAATCCTGAGCCCAACAAAGATGGGAGAAGAAAGGGAAGGTGAGGAATCAGTTTGACTCAGGGAAAGGGGAGGAGCTGGCAGTGTGGTTAGGGTGAGCAATCCTGGTGCACATCATCCCCTTTCCTGCACTCAAAGCCCTGCAGGGGCTGTCCTGGCTCTCTGGCTCACTGCCTCCCATGTGCTGTCCCCACGCATGGCTGTGTTCACTCACTGCTCTGCTCCACATGCATGTCTGCTTGGGCTGCATTTGCAAAGTCAGCACATCAGCACATCTCACTAGGGAGTTCCTTTCAGCCTGCTGCAAGACTTCAAGGCAGTGATCCCAGCTGGGGGTGGAGAAGGGATGTGGCTAAAATACTGTAAAAATCCCTTTGCTATCAATTGCAAGTCATAGCACTTTCTTAATAATGGTAATTGTGCTATAATATTAAACTCTTCTCAAGAGTTCAAAGCATCCAGTCCCACCAGTGCATGGGAGATCCTACAGCAGTCTTGTGTATACATGAGGGAGTGCAAAGGTCTGTCACACTTGGTGAAATACAGGACTTGTTCTTCCCAACATATTTTAAGGCAGAGAGAAGTCATGTTCTATTTAGTTTTTGTGATTAGTTCAAATATTTGCTTATAAATTGTGCCAGCTCTTGTGGGAACTGAGTTAAAATATTATCAAAACTTCTCAGAATAATTGGCAAATACAAATGGTTGAGACCCAGCAAGATTATCTACCTTATAGGCTGTTTTATGGCATTAATTCTTATAGTACCTCAGCTCACCACATTAGTAGGTTTGTCATCCATGTTCTGCAAAGGAGAGATTTCTGTGTTTTAGAAGAGGTGGTGGGAGGTGTGTTGAGGTGCCCAGGACTGCAAAGAGCACCCTCCTTCCCCCTTCTTAGGCTGAGGAGTTATTGCAGGGCTGACCCAAGGCTTCTCAGTGAAATATTTGTGTTTAGTTTCCCTAGCCCCTTGCAAGGGAGGGTGTCTCTGGCTTTCTGCCTTTTTGGAAAGGGCAGAGTATAGAGAAAGGAAGAAGATTTTTTTTTCCCCTGACTCTTTTTTTCCTTTTTTTTTTTTTTTTTTTTTTTTTTTTTTTTTTTTTTTATGAACTTGGCAACTCTGTAAATCTCCCTTGGGAAAGCAGCCCATCTCCTGGAAGATTGCTCTCAGTGCTTCCAGCTTCTTCTAAAAGAGTCTTGACAACCAAAAAGGAAAGAACATCAAGGGCTTTCTGAGCCTGTTAAGATTTATGGGTTCATTTGCAACTTGGCAGCGAGAGCTGGCCTCAAATGCATCTCAGCAGAGATACCAAATAGCAACAGCCTCTTACCCCTCTGTCCAAGCGCTTCAGCCCTTTCCCTTGCTCCAGGGGCTGACTAAGGCAAATAGAAATCCCTGCTTTGGAAGTGCAAAAGGCCCTGCAGCAGGAGCCCCTGAGCCCCATGTGCCTGCGCTGTGGTGGAACAGGGAAACACTCCCTGCTTTCTGTGGTCTCCTGGCCAGCAGCAGAGTTCCTCTCAGGCAGTGACACAGTGCTGCTGAGCTGCCCTTCCAACAAAATCCCCATGAGAAAAAACCCTCTGGTGAGCACAAGAGCCAAGAGAAATCAAGTTCTGTTTAGCACCAAAGTCTGATTTATTTTCTCAGACACTTTCTCAGCAGAGTGCACATTCTATGTATTTTACAAAAAGATTCCTCAGTAAATATGACAGAAATTAAAAGGAAAAAAAAAAAGTTAAACATTGAGAGAGTTTTGAACAACCACCAAATTTCTGTGCATCCTCAAAGGAAAGGGAGAAAAGTTCATGCACATCTCCAGCAAGCCGAGGGCACCATATAAAGGCAGTGTGCCAATTTTCCTATGGATTTTTAAATGCTTTGTGTATTGAAACATGTAACCTGCATGCCAGACATGAAAATGGATGTTGGCATGTACAGTTACATCCTGCTCCGTTGCTGTGTGTGTGTTTTCTGCATGCTGCCATTTGGGACTTGCTTTGTTTGAGTGGGTGGAAGGTATTTTTCCACTCAGCGTCACACTTTGTCTCCAGTATTTTTTGAGGCATATCACGGAGAATTTTTTCCCATAGTTTTGTTGTAAGACAACTTCTAATCCTTATGTAATATGTTGTGGATAAATTTATAAGCCATTCCAACAATCCATAGGACTTATGGAAAAAACTGTCGTGTTCTGTGAACGTAAGTCATACCTCCAAAATCCAAATTGCTGTTTCTTGGAGCGAACCACGGGGGCATAAGAAATTGAACAGACACAGTATACTTAGTTTCTGCAGATTCTTTGAACACCATCATCAAAACAATAAGCAAAAAAGTTGGTGGTGGTTTCCAGAGGGAAACAGATCCAACTGTCACCGCTTTCAAAAAATTCATCATGTGATAATGTCACTAAGGGTAAGTTACTGCCACCTTGTGCAAGCAATAGAATTCCAACTTCTCATTGAGGACCGTGTTTAATTCCTTCCTGGAACTAACAACACTGCACTTCAGAGAAATGCAGGGTCAGAGAGCTTGAAAATCCCACCTGAATGTTGAAGCATAGGGGAACAAAGCAATCAAAACCAAGAACTAAACAAAATAATAACAAAAAAATCCCATCACCTAAGTAAAACCCAGAAAATAAAGAAGATATTATTGAGAACAATGTGTTATAGATAAACATTTTATAATGTGTTAAAACAATTTTAAAACATGTCATACTGACATACTTAAACTTTGGTATAATGCCAAAAAAACCTTCAGGATCAACCTTACTATTTGAATTATAACCTGAAGCATTTGGTGGAATAATGCAGAGATTAGCAGCTTTACAGCTTACTGAAAATCAAACATGTCCTAACAGAACATAGTTTACTGTATAATTGCATTATGGAGCCACATTTGGTAATTAAGAATTAAGTCAACAATAGATTTCTTGTTCTATACAGGAGAGACTTTTGAACTTTTTTTCCCCCTCTTTTTCCTCCTTTTGATCTGGAGTTCTGGATTTTTTTAATTACCAGCCCTGACCCCTCAGTCCACACCAGGACTTACACTGAAGATAACTTCCCTGATTTTATTTATGCTGTGTGCATCTCTTTTCTGAGAAATGTACATGTGTCCTCCTTCAAGTGCTCTGGTGCACCTCCAGCCCCTCTGCTAGGGGCTCTGTGTGCTCTCAGCATGGCTTTAGAAGCAGGAGATGTAGCTTTGAAAGCTCACTGACTGTGGAATGGGCTTGAATCAGGCAATGACAGGAATCCAAAGCTGCCTTCTAGCAGAGAACACAGGCAGTCACTGGGGACTGGGGAGCATGGTTGTTTTACAGAAGCTGAACCATAGGTTAGGACTCTAAAAACACATCTAGTGTTTCAGGGTGTTAATGAAAATCTGTGCCATCCTCGGTCCAGGCACCAGTGAGGTTCAAATGCCAGTAGCCCAGTAACCCTGAGCCCTCCTGTTCTCTTTCAGGGGAGGTGGAATGCAATCCCAGTGCCATGGATGACAGCCTTTGCCTTGACTTGGTGCTTGTACTTGTATTCCTGGAGCAGCTGTAATCCTTGCCATAGCACCCTCTAAAAACACTCAGTTAAGCCTCAGAATAGCATCTTCTTGGCTCTGGGACTTGTGATTATTGGGAATGGTTTGCTCTGGAGGTTTCACAGGTTTCTGTGCCTTTGAATCATTAAAGTCCAACAGGCAATATCATAGAATCACAGAATTGTTTGAGTCAGAAGGAACCCAAAATATCATGCAGTTCCAACACCCCTGCTGCCATGCATGGGCAGGGACATCTTTTACTACACCAGATTGCTCAGAGCCCCGCCCGACCTGGCCTTAAACACTTCCAGGGATGGGGCATCCACAACTTCTCTGAGAAACCTGTTCTAGTGTCTCACCACCCACACAATTAAGAATTTCATCCTAAAATGTAATCTAAATCTACCCCGCTTCAGTTTGAAGCCATTCTTCTGTGTACTATCATTAGAGTTCCTGATTAAGTGTCCCTCTCTGGCTTCCTTGTAGGCTCTCTTCAGATACTGGAAGGTTTCTGTGAGGTCTCTATGCAACCTCTATGAGGTCTCCAGGCTGAACAGCTCCAACTTCCCGAGCCTGTCTTCATAGGGGAGGTGCTCCAGTCCCCTTATCCTGGATCCTGGGGTACAAAGTCATGACCTGGCTCATCCCGCTGTAAGGATAAGGGGAGCACAGCTCCCTGTGGATGTTCATTTGCTGGGCAGGGGTGGGCCAGTAGTCCCTGTAAGAGGCACTGGGGTAGGCGTGGGCTTTCTGGAACAAGGCGGTTCCGATGCTGGAATCGGAGGGCGCGGGCTGCCCCGGGGCCGGGCCGGGGAAGCAGCGGTGCTGCCGCAGCCGGGGCTCGCCGTGCGGGGGGAGCCCGGCCGGGGACGGGGCTGTGGGCTGCAGAAAAGGGGGCTGCGGCGTCTCCAGGGCCTGTTCGTGCTGAGCACCGCCGGGGAAGGAGCGGCTCCCCCGGGCTGTTCCGGGCACAGCAGGGCGCTGCCGAGCCCAGCCGTGCCTTGGGCACGTCCCGCCTTGCGCCCGCGGGAGCCCCGGCCGCGGGAAGGGGCACCCGGGAGAGCCGCAGCGCTCCGAGCCCTGGCGCTGATGGAGCGAGAACAGTTCGTGCCTGAGGTCAGAGCAGGGCTGAGGGCCGTCCATGACCCCCCTGTCCCCAGAGGCGCACAGGGACCAGCTGCAGCCGTAGGTGTCCTCACTGATGGACACTGCTGACATCTTCGCCAGGAGCGGCTCCGGCTGCGGCAAGCGCTGGTCCAGCCGCAGGTCAGAGCCAGGACTGCTGGCCCAGGCACGGAATGAGTGCCCAGAGCAGCTCCCCGGGGCCCTCTCTGGGCAGCAGCAAGGCCCAGAGCAGCCTCTGGCTTCCCGCAGAGTTGCTGTGCAGGCATCGCACGGGGAGCGCTGGCACCTCTCCTCCTCTTTCCCCAGCGCTAACGGGACCTTTGTTTTGGCCCTGAGCTCATCGGCAACTGAAAGCTGAGCGTGACGTTGCTTCTCGGGGTGGTAAAATTTGCATTTATTGCCATAGGTGCATTTTTTACCTGAAAGGATAAAAACAAATCAGACAGGAAGTTGTCACTAGCACCGACATCAATTAATGCACACATCGCTTCTCCCCAGCACTGGGTGTGGTGAACACAGAAAAAAGAGGAAGTACTGTTTTCAAACTCAGTACTGTTGACTCCAGATTTAAATATTGCTGATATGAATAGCAGGGTGAAGCAGCAGCGAAAGGAAGTCTTTGCTATTTTGGAAGTGTCTGATATTCATGTTTCAGTTCCTGCACTCGGTGGGCTGGGAGGCCTGCTGCTACTAAAGGTTGCTTTAAAAATGGCATAATGATTTACCTCTGAGAAACCTGCACATTGCTAGGGGGCTGGTGGGAGGGGAGAGAAGGAAGGTGTTTGGATGGCCATTCCCTAGTGCTGCAGCAAAATCCACTCCACCAAGTGAGAAGTGTGTGTGGGCAGGACAGCCAGCACAGCCACAGTGCCCGTGGGTGCTGTGTGCAGGCAAGGGTGGAGGGGCCCAAAAAACATCTGCTGCCTTTGCTGAGGCTGAAGCCACTCAAGCAGGAGGGGGAAAAGCATCACACCTTTGAGCAACCCCAAGCCAAGTGCCTGCCACACGGAGCAGGACAGCACATGGCAGTGGCCCCTAGCCGAGGGAGAGCACTGCTGGGAAGCAGGGGGCAGTTCACAGCATGGGGAGAAACCCACCATAAGGACAAGGCTGCCATTTTTTTTCAGGAAGCACTGGCTTTTTGCTGAGGAAGTTACTTAAGTTGGGTCCATGCCGGCCTAATGGATCATCGGGAGGCATAAACCTGGAAAAGTAAAAGAAGCCATGGATGTAAGCACATGTCTGTGCACACTGGATGTCTCAGGGAAGTGCATTGCCCCTGGACAGCTCAGCTATTAGGAAACTCAGGAGGTTAGTATGAACACAGTGAGGAGCACTCAGCTCAGCCTCGCAGGCTTGGTGCAAGTGACAGAATGAAAACCTTCTCTCAGCAGGGATGGTGAAGGGCCAGAGAGACCAGATTCTTGTCTCTTTTAGCAAGCTACGACTGCAGAAACACAGGGAAAAGTCCTATTTTGTCATGCAGAGGAATTAAAAATACTGCCAGCCAGCCTCCTCTCATGGATTTAATTCTGCTTCTTACAGGAAATAGAAATTAAAAGATACCAGCCCTCAGTTCAACATCACAACTTGGATTGGAAAGAAGCAAATCTGGTCAGTAATGCTGCCATTCAAGTAGTAAAGTTCATAGAAGAGTGGCATGGAAAGTTTTAAGACCAAAGCTGAGGGAGTAGGACACTCAAGAAACGAGATAAGAAAAGCTGCAGTAAATTCCTTTAATGAAAAGGCTCTCGTGTTCTGCAACAGATGGGAGGTACTCTGATGCTGGAGGTGACTTGGCCCATAACATTCAAATTCTAGGTTCTGTAACACTGTCATCTCTTACCTGTTACTGACAAAAGAGTACATGAGTAGTCGCTGCTCAATGAACCATTTCCACTCGGGGTTTTCATTTTGGAGATCCCGGTAGTGGTCATTGGACACAATGACTCCGTCTTTCTCGTAAGCAACTTTCACTATGTAGCGATCGTCATAGCAAACCACCCGCTTGCCTTTCACCTTCCGAGAGGGTGTGTAGACCAGGATGGATTGCTTTTCCAGCTCCTCAAGGATGTGCTGATCTGGTGGGGGGATTGGCAGATGAGGAAAGCAAAAATAAAAGAGACACGAATTAATTAATTATGACCATGTCACAAATGTCTGCTAGAAACCTACAGGAATCTAAAGATATTTCAGCACTTTAGGAAAGGCATGGTGCAATTTTCAGATGCAGTGGTATCTGGTGGTTATTTGGCAACTTTAAAATTAGGTCTTTTATGAAGAGGTTTTTTACCTAACCTGTAATTTTTTTTTTTTTACTAAAAAAAACCCATTACCCTTTTTTGATTTTCAAGTCTTATCTGTAAAAGAATGCCTTGAATTCTACACCAGAGTCTGATACTAAATCCCTGCAGTGCCCTTTTTGCCCTGCTAGATGCCAGAAGGCTCACAACCAGCCCTGATGTAAGCTTTGCATGGGGAGATAAAATGTGTGTGATAAAAGACATAAATAAACTTCTTTTGCTGCTGTTGAGGACACTCTGACCTCTTGCCACTCCTTCTCTGCAGGTAGATAGATCCACCTCATCTGCAGACACCAAGCTTCTGGCACAAACCTGGCTGATTTCCAGACAAAGTATTTCCCGACAAACTGAGTCTCACTTCTCTGCACAGACTTTTGCTGATGCATTTTCTTCTCCTGGATGGGGAACCCATGCACCCTTTGTGTTGGGCAGCAGGCTGACAGAAAACAGTCATGCAGTAATGAACATCACTGTCTCCTGGCAGGCCTCAAAGGCTCCACAGACTCATTGCAAGCTGACAAACTCCTTCTTTAACTCAGCTTGGCAGCACCTTGTGCTTGTTAAGCAGAAGGCTTAAAGCAGTGTAACAAAGCCTTGTAAGCATTTTTAGCTGCTAGCCAGGAGCACTGAATGGGGCAATGAATTAATGACTCATTCAAGTGAGGGAAGTGTGATACATAACTTGCACTGTGCTTGTCTTTGCAGGGAAAAAAAACCTGTACTGGGTTCTTCACACCCCCTCTGTCTCCAAACTGCACCTAATGGCTGCCAAATTACACCCAGGATGGTGACCTACCTGCAATGGGGCTGTCTTGTCGAGGGGGTTCCTTTCTCCAGAGTGGGACAAAAACCTTGATGTAAGTGTGCCCCCTCTCTCGAAACCAATCCACTGCCAGCTGGATCCCCCAGCAGGAGAACACCTCCTTGTTTCCATGACTATAAAGAAAGAGAGAGGATGATGAGGCAAAGCTTTCATGAAGCTCAGAGCTCTCTTTAACTGAGCCAGTAATCAAAAGACAAAATAAACAGCTTTTGTGTCATTCACCAGTTTCCAAGAAAACAACTGGCAGGGTGTCCTGGTTGGACAGATCCAAACACCTCCTCCAGCAGACCAAAGATTTATCTGAAACAGTTTGGATACTTAAAAACAGAGGTATCCTGTCCCCCATTTCTGTGACCCAAGCCTAATCCTTCCATCTGTACCTGGATGGACTTAAGTTTTAAAGTACCAAGAAGATGTTAGGCCTTGTCAAACTCTTCATGTGCCTTGTCTGAAAAAGGTTTGAGGGGTGAGAGTTTCTTTCGGCACAAGCAGAAACCCATGAGGCTCCTGTGAAAAACAAAATGTGGGAATTTTCTTCTGTGGTAACAGGGCCATTAGAGATTTTAATGTCTGAAGGGGCTGCAGGTATGATCACAGGGCACTCCACTGGTGATCTTTTTGGAAACATGAGACAAAGTACAGGGGAAGAAAAACTGTAAGAGGCAGGATGGGAAATAATAGAGAACCAAAAAAGGGACAAGACATGAGTGGAGATGGCCACAGGTGCCTCAGGCCCAATTTTATCCTGCTCTAGTTGATAAATATTTTCTTCATTGCACAGAGGGGTAGGAAAGCCCTAAGACAAGTGTTCTAGAAGTGCCAGCAAGGGGGGTTCTGAAGAATTCAATATGCAGCATAAGACAGAAAATAACCTCAAGGAAAACAATCCTTCTAAATGTTCCACCTTCCCTCAAAGTTCCTACGGCTTGGCATTCACTTATCTAAACTTTGACTACAGTGCAGTGTATGTGTAAAGGAAGGTAGTTTGTTAACTACCCCTGCACAGGGAAACCAAATAAACTGCACCCAAAGTCCTAAGTGGACAAATGCCTTCACAATAGCTACAGAATGCTCATCCTTGTACTTTGACCTTTCTGCATAATATTGCCAATCTCACTCAGACAGTCACAAACAAGAAAAATTAAAAAAGGATACTGAAAGCACTGACCAGGCCTACCCCACTAGCCAAAGCAAATGCCATTCAGTACCACTTAGAAAGGCATCCAGGAGAGGAAAGCAGCTGTGCCCTTTCAGTACCTACTGAACTGACAAGATCAATGGTCTCCACCATCCACAGACTCATTACCAAGATGGGTTGGGATGTCTGAAAAGAGCTGTAAAACCTTTGCTTTTCTGAAACTTAAATCTGCTGTGCCTGGAGAGCTGAGAACAGAGCCCATGGCCCACCATGGGTAACACTGACCCTGGCACAATGACAGGGTGGGCGATCAGCTCAGCCACACTGCCTGAGTGGGTGCTCAGTTCTTTTGCAGAGGCAAGAAAGACACCCTGAGGAGGGGCTTGGGTGAAGAGGCAAAGCAGGGCAGGAGATCCTAACACCTGGCTACCAAGCTCATGGCCCAGACAAGGCCAAGCAATTTTGCCCTGTTGTGTATTTCCCACTCCTAGTGAGCTGCCTTGAGCAGGGAACCACTTGGTTTTGTCTGGGATTTCTCCCTTCACCCACAAGATGGCATAATTTGCTTAGTCTCCTGTTGCTCTGGATGTGCTTGGCCACTTTTCTCTCCAACCAGAGGGGATATGGTCTCTTCTCACTTCTCATCTCACAGGATGGCTAACACAAGGAGGAAGCTTTCCTTTGCCCCCCTCAGCCTGCAGGGATGAGCTTGGCCCTGCTGAATGGACAGGGAAGTTACCAGAGAAAACAGATGGATAGCCAGTGAATCCTGGACTCTTGGCTCTGTACTGCTTGAATAAACAGAGGCCAACTCACTGCCATCTTGGACACCCCATCCACAGGGATGGGCCAGGCTCCCCATCTGTAAGAGCGCTTTCAGAGTGCCAGGGCATTGCTCAGGAAATGTCATTGGCCAGCATGGGTTGATGCGACATTTCCCAGAAACAGAATGACTAAGGAGGAAATGAATCTATTCAATACAAGTCAACTACCAATTCCCTGATATTTACCTAAAACAGAAGCCAAATAGAAAACCAACAAAAATTAAATAAACCAGGAAATGTTCCTAGCTTGTATAATTTTTGTTGGTTTTTGGTTTGGCTTTTGTTTACTTTTGGAGTTTACTTGCAAGACAAAGCAGTAAAACAGTGGTATTGTTAGAAACCACAGTTACCTGACTATTTCCCCTCTCCTTAGATTAGGTGGGTGGTCTGTCTATCTGTTCATCAGATTTTCCCTGGAAACATCTCAGGTTTGGAAGTCTTAGGTGACTATTTGTAAATGGGGGGTAGTTTACTGGTGAGCTCCAAGGAAGAGACACTGCCATAAACAGTGGACAGAGGTTGCCTTATAGAAGGTCAGAATGCAGAGTGAGCCAGTAATTCATTGCATGTGATGTGCATATTCGGGTATCACGGCACCAGGTCGTGCATCAGCTGTGCATCAGCCAAAGAACAGGAATAAGCAATTGCTCATACATCAAATGCATCAACACACCTCTCACCTGAAGGAAAAACCCACTTCAAGCCATCAGTTTTAAAAGTCAAAAGCTTCAGAGGAAGAGAGAAGCCTTCAGGAAACGGAGCTTACCTCATTGCGACGTTGCTGCCATCGATCACAATGGGCCTCAAGGAATCGGAAGAATCACTTTCATCTTCTCCCAGCCACTTCAGCCCCGGGGTGGTGCTACACGATCCACGGGCAACCAGCTTTAGCTGGGAAGGCTGAGCCTGGTTCTCCAGAGCCTGAGGTTTGCTCCCCATCCGAATCAGTTCTTTCAGCACATCATCCTCCAGGGCCTCTTGGCCCAGGTTCTCCAGCACTTTGCAGATGTCCTGCTTACCATAGCCCAGCTTGCAGAAAAAATCCATCTTGCTCTGGTGCACTTCCACCCCTGCTGCAGAGACTTTTTTGGAGTGTGGTGGTGCTGCTTTGCTAGAAATTGAACTGGCCAGTGCCATTTTAGCAGGCTTTTATGTTCCTTTCAACCTGATGATCCTGTCTTCCCAGCTGTGTCGCACAGGCATCAGCTTCAGGGAGGGAAAGATTAGCAACAACAAAACAAAAGCATTAAGGAAGAAGATGCAATCATCTCAATTCTTTGCCTAGTGCACAGCAGGGACCAGATTAGCTGTCTTCTCTCTGAGGACACTGTCCAGTCTTCTCTCAGCATTCTGGTCCGCTCTTAATTATAAAAGCACCAGAGTGTCCCATGCAATGTTCGTCACTCTCCAAACATTATGTCAGACAGGTGTCACTTTACTTGGTGAGCTGTGCCAGGGTGTCTGTACGCAGACAGGCTGCATGCGTGAGTTGGTTCTGCAGACTTATCTCACAGGAAATGACACAAAGGGGATTTTCAATTTGCTTTGAGGTTTCTCGGCCCGAGATAAATATCTGTCAAGCTTTACTGGACAGGCTCAGATGCCATAGCAACTTAAGAAGTATAGCAAATTTCATCCAGTGATTTAAGGAAAGATGTTGTTTGCAAAGTATCTGGAAACAGATTTTTTTTTATAGTTTTCTCTTTCCTACTATGTATCCATCTGTGTGTACACAGACATAAATTCTGAAATTATGTCACTCATCAGTTCTAATGATGCCTGGCTACTCTTTCCTGTTACTTGCTGTTTCAGTGAGACTTTTATTTTCAGAGAAGAAACTTGTTTTTTTGAAAGCTGTCAGGATGGTGCCTTGAAGCAGGTGATCCAGAAAGCGGTTTCAATTTCACTTATGTTTATTGTCAAGGTAATTCAGAAATGAGTGTGCAAAAGTAGCAAAAAGCTACTTCATATTCTCCAGAACTGCACCACATAGACTTCTGGCCTACCCAGTGAATGAAGGTGATGGGCAGCACAGTCAGGGATACCCAGAGCTGCCCAAGCCCAACAAGCATGACATGGAAGAACATACACGGTGACCACTCATCTGTCAAGCCAAACACCTTCAGTCACTGTTGGCTTGCTTGCACTGAAGCACCTCTTGCCACATCACTGCAATTATTGATGCTACCTGCTTGAAAGCTGTGGCTGGCTCTTCTACCCACATGAGGGATGTAAGGGATGTCTTCCCTTGGCTGACTGTGGTCAGATGCAGAATTAACTGGCCAAACAAACCCCTCTGTGCTGAGCCTGGAGCCAGAACCACATTCCACCACCAGCTCCCCTTCCCAGCCTGCCAGACAATCTCTGCCCAGCAGTGGGCCACTCCAGGAGCCAGAAGCTGAAACCATATAGAAGGCAGCATGGAGGCACTGGAAACAAGCAGCTGGGAGAGGATTCAGAGTGAAGCTCCTCCCAAAGGCATAAGAGCCCTCTCAGGCTGCGGGGAAGAAATCCATGCTGGGTTCAGTTCATTTAATACTGATTAGTTCAGCAGGAAAACATGATAATTACTTATAACCTCACCTCATGAAACTCTGATCTTTGCTTTTCTATGTAGCTTTATAAATTTCAGGTATTCTCTGGGAGAAATTTGGCACTCAGTTAAAAATTACAAACAGCATCAATAAAATAATACATACTTGAAGTATGCCATCACTGTAAGGGGAAAACAGTTACCATGTGTATTTTTTCATCTAAACTAAAGCATTGCTTATTTAAGTCAGTGACTGTTTTCCTCACAGAGCACTCTGTAACCATTTTTATACCTAATCCTGTTTTTAATTCATTGACAAAAGATGAAAATGCTTTTTTCATTATTGAAAGGTTTTCTCATCTTTGAAACAGCTACTGTCTGAGCTGAAATACACTGATGTAACCAAATAAAGCAGAAGCAGTCACATCTGGGCTAGTACCACAGTAAAACCTGCGCCCAGGTATGCAAGTAGTGGCTCCAAACACCTGAAGTGTACTACTTGACCTTTTTTAAATGCTGAGATTTTTCAAAATAAATTACTGTTAATTAAAACTTTTCTTAGTATGTCTTCAGGTTGAAAAGAAAATATCTACCACATATTTTAACTGCCATTACTTTTGTTTTCAAACCTGTACTTCTGTCTACTTTGATGCTTTTTTCTTTTTTTTCTTCCCCCCCCCCCCCCTTTTACTATCAGAACAATTTCCTCTGTTAGCATCACATTTTGTTGCATGGATGTTTGTCCTGGATTTCACCTGAAATTAGGTTCAGTTCAATCCTTTAGAATTTTACCAGCTGCAGAGGAGACAGAGGCCATGTCCACCTTGCAGCTTCCAGCACACATGAGCAGGTGCTGGATGAAAGTTGTTCACCACAACACTTCCCTAGCTCCATCCCAGGCACCAAGCCCATGGTCCATGTCTGCACATTCTGCTGATTTTTGCAAGGCTTGGTTCCTCTGTGCAAGCAGTGAATCCCTTTGGCTTGGTAAGCATGGGAAGTGCTGAACTGAGCATGGGATGGCTGCCTGGGGTTGATGTGATGCAGCAGCAGCCATCACCAGCAATGTGGTAATTCTGCAAAGTTAACCACTGGATTTCTGCTGCAGGGTGGCCAAACACCATAAATGGGTGATACAGTCACTGTAGGGTTTTCATCACAGTGAGAATAATTTGGAAAAACTGAGATGGAAGCCTTGGTCACAGAAAACACTGAGGTCAGCCATCTCAAGGGGGAATTAAAATGCAATAAAATCCCTGGCTTACACATTAATAAACACTCAGGAGTGTGCCCAAGTCCAGCAGGTCAGCAGGCTGCTTATAACCAGCACAAAAAACATGACAAGAGGAGAAATTGTGTATGACAGAGTCCAGCTTCTGCTATCACAAACAGGCTATGAAATCCCATTTATAAACTTTATGACCTTCATTTGCAAACTGCTTAGATTTCTTCCTGCCACTTTCCTTCCCTTTATCTCAGCTGATCCCACTGGAATCTGGTTTTGTTTTCTCACCACTGAAAGCCAAAGTGTTTTCATTTCATATAATAATTTATCCACAGATAATGGTGTGCCCATCCTATGATCTATCTTAAAAAGCACTCTCTCCGTGTTGTTGTGACTCCTCTTACAGACAGACAGACACACACACACACACAGAGAAGAAATGGCTTCAGTCAGATTTCCAAAATTCTATTTCAATCTTAACATTTTAGAAGGTTAATGTTTCAATGAGTACTTTTGACAAAAAAAATCAAAAAATCTCTTATGGTTTTCTGCCTTTGGTATACTTCGATACCAAAGGATTTTTCTTTTTCAGATTTTTCAGATTAGAAAATTATACTTGACAACACTTTTCCAGAGAACAGAGAAGTGGTGGCAACTACTACACCTTGAATGACTTCAAAGAATAATATTTCCTTCCACCAGGTGTTTGCTCCTCTCCCGACCAGTCAGAGCATCCCCTCCAGCAGCCTCAGGCCACAGAACCACAAGGAGAAATTTGACTCACAGGGAGCTGGAGCTCTTCAGAGCCCCCTCAGAGGCCTGTTCTGCCCAAGCAGAGGCAGAGGGGGCACAGCCCCAGACCTGGCATTGGTCAATGCAGAGCAGGGTAAGTTCTTCTCTGAAGTTCATGTGCATGCCAAGCAGCACAAGGAGCACAGCTACATCTCCCTGCCACCGTAGATTTGCTCCTCACATCTCAGGGAGGGATCACTTCACCCTTCTTCCTCCTTCACCCCTGACAATAACACTGCAAACCACCTAAGACTGACAGCCCATTTGAGCCCTGCCATGTGGTGGGGCTGCTCTACCTTCAGAAAACTAAGAATTTTTATTTTCACAAATGGAAGATGCACATAACTCTTCATAAACTCTTCACAGCAACACCAGACATTTGTTGTCTTGATGACTAAGAAAAGATTTGCCTTTTTCTTCCCCACCTTCCCTGCTCCGTTTGCTAAAAATAATAAAGCCAAACTCCCCAGGGAGTGAGCTGTGCCCACAGGAAACCCCTCTTGCTCCATACCTACCTGGCAGCTGTTCTCTCTGTGGCCCAGCAGCACTGTCCCACCATCCCCCAGCCAGAAGCTGGATTCAGAGCAGTACCAGGCTGACAAGGAAGTCACCAGCTTGTATTTAGAGGTAGGGCTGGTGTCAACTGAGACAAGTAAGTGCAGTGGGCAGAACTCATTTTATAGGAAGGTTTTACTTCCTCATTTGGCAGCCCATGCTCTCATATAACCATAAGCTGATAAACTTTCACTTCATTTTTAAGAAGGGAAAAAAAAAAAAAAAGAGGTTCCCAACACACGTCTGTTCTGAATCACAGGCAAAAATTAGTCAAACTCACTCCAGCAGGGATGCAGAACATTGAGCAATGAGAACATTGCACATGAATTCTGGGTCAAGTGAAATGTTTTCCACCAGGGCTGCTGTACCAAGTTAGCACAGTCTCATTCCCATGCATCCGGCAAACTCCTGACCTCCGGGGAAATGTGGGAAAAATACTTTTAAAATCAACATTTTGCTTAGCACCTGATACTGCAAAGCCTCATTCAAACATTTCCATGTCTGAAGGAACCTGCTCTGGGACACTACAATGAACCATCAAAATGTTACACCACAATGAAACATCTAAATCCAAACAACCCCCTTTAGCCCGCTGGTGCCTCAATTGAAAGACTGCTTCAGAGATGCTCAACCTGTCCACAGAAGTCTGACAGGCACTTCTTCATGGAAACCTGAGGTTTCCCTCTGCTTTTTCCTTACCTCACTGCAAAGAAATACACCCCAAATCCAATTTTAGGCAGCAGAAAGGGTTGGAGACTCTAAGAGGGGTCAACCTCTGGGACCTTTTGGATGCTTCAGACATCTCTTGCATGTGCAGTGCCCTCTGCCCTGAGGGACAACTGGCGTGTGGTGCTGTGGAAGGAAAGAACCTCTGCCACTTGTCACAAGGCAACACACCAGAGCAGGGTCGACCTTTTCCAGTTAGAAATCCTACTACCTGCATACTTTGTGGGAGTAAGCAGGGTGGTCAACCCCTTTGTAGTGGTATCCTGTTTAACCCAGAGTGTTTGCTGGTTGCTGCAAGCCTCACTGTCGCTTCTTCCAAGTGATGGTTACACCTTTACATCACACCCAGGCTCCTGGAAACTCTTTGGGAACCAGGATGCCTTGCTGCTGTGTAAAGTAGTGCTCAGGCAGGGACAGGATAAAGGGGCAGGACACAGCCTCCTCCATCCTACCTCTGGCACAACGCTTCCTCTAAGCCACAAAGGGCTGGGCAGGTTAAGGCTGCAGAAACAGGGAAGTGTTTGTAGGGCCACAACTAAAGAAACGTGCCAGCTCCCTGCTGCCCAGAACAGCTGTGAGAGCAGAACAACCTTTGACTCCTCACTCCTTGGACTCAGAATCACAGGATGGAAAAGACCTTTGAGATCATCAAGTCCAACCAAATATCCCTGGAGAGGAGGGATCTTCTCTGCTCCATTTAAGCTTTCACAATGCCACACATCTCATCACAAGACCACCAAGTAGCAGTACTACTGGAAAGAAAGTTGCTGCATTATTTATAACCCAAGCAGGCAACAGAAGAAAGCACCTACATTGTGTGGTGTTGTTTTAACCCCTACTTCTCAGTAAAATTGGGGTTTTACTACCTAAATAGGAACAAATCGGAGACTATAAAAAGGAAAGCCAATTAGATAAAAGAAATCTCATTTCTATTGAAGTGACCATGTCCATCTACTGTAAAAAGCCATGAGCAAAAAAGACTTCAACATCATTCAAATCACAGGCAGCCAGGAAGACCTTTAGGCAATTTCTGAAATTTTACCTAGGTGATCACCAGCTACCACAGAGAAGACCATGAGAAATAAAGGAGCATATTTAACTTTTCCGACGGCTTCACACCCTTTTGTGAGAGCCTAGACTCACGTTTGAGCACCAAAGACTGTGGTTTCATAGACATTTCCTTTCTCTGCTGTGCTCCCTTGTGCTGACAAGCACACTGAGTTTTTCCCAGCACAGATTTATTGCTGCTCAAGGCTATTGCTATGTTCAAGAAGGAAACAGCTGCAGTAGGAGAAGTTTTCAGAGGGGAAGATCGCCCCACTAATGGATGTTTCAGTGCTGAGGACTGAGGATTTACTGGTTTGTGAAACAACTAGACACTCACCAGAAAGAATCACTGCCAACCTCAAAGTCAGGCAGCCTTGCTGCAGCAGCTCCTGGAGGCTACAGAGATGACCAAGCATGACTTTGAAGAAGGCTCCTTGTACAAAAGCACTTTCCTGATGGTGTTAGGCTCCTGCATGGAAAAACCAATCTCTTGAAACTTGGAACACCTCGGGTGCTTTGGTCTACAGACCTCAGTGAGGTATTTGCTTTGCTAAGGGAAACAGTCACTATTGCATCAGCACAAGAGAAAGGCATTATCACTCTCTTCCTCATCTGAAAAGTTCACCTGCTGTGTGCCAAACAAACACATGGCCATAGCAACACAGTGAAAATTCTTTAGTCCCTAACTAGCAGAACACAGTGCTAAATCAAATGTAGGTCTATTGCCAGGAATATTTTTAATGGTTGTGGAACTAATATATTCTCCATCCTAACTCAAGTGAGAGTATTCCCCTACTCCCTTCAGGAAGGCACAGATCAGACCCTCAGGCCAAGCTCTCTCAACAGTATAAGCTACGCTCCTGATTTTAATTATGATTTTTTACTATTAGGCAAAATTTGGATGAATTTCTGCCAGTGAAATTCTTTCCCTGTTGGAGACACTGAAAATTTTGACTTGGAGACGGGAGTTCACCCCAAAAGCATACATCACTAACTTAGCAGGTCCTACTAGAGTCCCAGCTCAGTTACGGACAGGCAATCCAGTATTCATACCGGCAGAAAGCCACTATCTTTAGAAGAGGCATTTCTACATGCTTGCCAAAATGACCACCTTTCCTACCTCCCCAAAACGATGCCACTGTAGCAAGCACTGCATCTGGTCACAGAACAGAAAGAACAAATAATAAGAAAATCAATTTCAATCATGCAAACAATGGGAACTTCTTGGAAAATTGAAACCCCATCCATAATCTCTGATGTAGCAGAATCCCTACTTGGTTGGCCTAAAATATCTATTTTTCCTCCTTTTATATAACAAGATACTGCTATGACTCAAGTTGTTTTCCACTGGGCTTAAAATAAAAAAGTACCTTTTACAGAGTCAGAAAGTCCCAAACAAGTTTCAAGTTCAAAAGTTTACTGCCGTTCAGGTTAAGATTTCAGAAGGCTCTTGGAACTGTCTTTCAGCATCAATGATTCATTGTAAACACGTAAGACCTAAACCAACATAGAGTTTGCTTGTACCTTTTAACACAGCTACCACATTTAACCAAGGTGACACTGGCTTGTTCAAAGAAAAAGCACATTCCATCAGTGGCCAGACCAAGCATTTTACAAAAAATTACTGCCCTGTAGCAAGTATTTACATAAATCTGACTGTAATGTAACATTTTTCAAATTGCTTGTACGTCTTCTGTGTGCAGCAGGTGACTGACAGAAGAGACATTACCCACACTCCAGGAAGCTTACAAGCAAAACCTGCAATCCTGTCACTAACAAATCCAAGTTTTACATGATAAAAATCAGGCTACAGGAGGGTGAGATGGACAAAGATAACAGCAGCAACAGAATCAGAAATTATTCTAAACTTCTTGGAAATTTTAAAATGCTTGTCCAAATAACTAATAGATGATGAGGGGAGTGGGGGGGGGGAATTTGGTTTGTTGGTGTGGTTGTTAGGGTTGGGTGTGTTTTTGACAAGTGGAAGGAAGCAGGTAGAGCTTTATCACCAGAGAATACAGGGTGACCACGTCTGGGTTTGGGTTAACTCCCATCCTGCAATGCCAACTACTTGGATACAACATTTATGCTACTTCCACTGACTTGTGTGATGTCCATGGGATTAGAGAGAGATCTGTTGCAACCTACCCTCCTCCCACTTGCCTTTAGTGCTCTGCCACCAGGTCCTATTCATAACACGGTTTTGGCCAAATCCACTCAAAGTCTTGGACTCAAACTCAAGAGATCTACCGAGAACTAAAGAAACTACAACACATGACAGCCAGATAGTCACAAACTTACTCAAATCCATAGAATAAAACAGTTTAGAGTTGACATCACATTTTTAAGCTGTTGTAGGTAAAGGAATCCAATAGAAAACCTTGAGGAGCTGGTTTTTAAGACTTTAACCACTGAACAAAGAGCCCTAAAGCATGAGGTATTCCCCTTCAAACAAGCATCAGCTAAGTCAAAGTGAAGAAGTTGATGCTTCTGCTATACTTTCTATAATATTGAAAATATCATTTGTTGAAAATTCTATTTTCAACATTATAGAAGAAGGTGGATTTTTCGGTTGTTTTTCAACTACCACAAGCACCAAACAACAATAGTGAAACTGAGTTTGGAGATAGTATTGACGAAAAGGAAATGATAGGAAAGTGTGACTTCTCATTAGGGTAAAACAAGTCAACTCTTCAACTCACAAATAAAAACTCTTGTCCACTCCAATACATCTGGCTGGACAGGAACAGCAGGAAATATTTGTGGTTTCAGTTTGTTTGTGTCATTTTCAGAAGAACCACATGTACACAACCATAATTTCCAATGACAGGAGGAGTAAATCCCATCTAACCCAAGTGCTCTGCCATCTATGTGTCAGGTGAACTGAGATCCTTCCAGTGTCAGCAGACCAGACTAGAAATGCAGCCCTAAAATTAAGTACTTGCCCCCAAATTGGGAGCTTTTATACTGTCATTTAATCACCTATTAATATCACCTTATTTTTGAACACCTACAAAGCTTCCTCTTAAAAAATATAAACAGGTAATTTCACTAATCTGAAGACATTGTGTATTTTTAACAGCACCATGGCATATTGAAAAGCAGAAACTTGAAACCTTTTGGATGTCCTGACTTTTTAACCCTTAATTCTGAAGACTGCCCAACAATGAAAATGGACTATTTACTTCCATATACTACTAATTTAAATTTTCACCTCTTAAGCATCTACCTGCTGCAAAGAAAAGTCATTTCTGCTGCAGAAAAGCAAGCACATTCACCTGAAATAGGGTGTTTGTTTCTAAACATTGGTATGTTTTGTATGTCCCACAGGTGGTTGAGGGCTAGCTGAAGCCTAGGAATGGCTGCTGAAACTGAGATGTTAAGTCACAATTCTCCAACAAGAGGACCTGTGATGTTCAGCAAGAATCCAGCATTCTCCCCAGCTGGAAGCTTTAGTTTGTTTCTATGACTGCCATTTCTTAAAGAAAGCAAGAATACAATTGCCTCACTATCTCCACATCTTTGTAAAATCTGGCCAGCGCTTCTTCCAAGTTAAAAATGTGTGGAGAAGGACAGCAGGACTGAGAACAGGACAACAGCGCAATCCTTGTTTCTTTAATAGAGCAGGCCAAGAGCAGGAAGAGCTTGAGACAACCTACTGCCTCTGTAGCACTACTCCAAAGGCACCATAACCTGACTTAATACAGTTCCTTGGAATCTTCCTATGCTCAGACAGTAGGCAGAAATTTTCTTGACAGGAAAAGTGAGCAGTCCTCAGCCCAGATTCCCCAGGAGACTTCCAGGAACAGGTTTCCTGTTTACCTCTCCTCTGGGACAGAGGGCTCTCACTCAGACTCTGCAAGAATGGCCCCGGCCCCTGTAGGGTCTCAGGCAGCAAGAAATGTTTTGCCAGGAGACAGTTGTGGAAGCCCTAGTTCTACACTTTGAAGGGCACAAAAGATTTCTGGTTCTATGCTTTGAAGGACACAAAAGTAAGAGATCCATCAAAAGGCAGCTTCTTAGCCAAGTACATTTCCTGTATTTGGTCAAGCTCACTTTAAAACTTGGACTCAAGCTCAAGACTACAAAGAACTAAAGGAACTATAATGTGTGACATCAAAATAGGTCTCAAACTTACTCAAATCCATAGAATAAAACAATTTAGAGTCTACATCACACTTTTAAGCTGTTGCAAGTAAAGGAATCCAACAGAAAAATTTGAGGAGCTGGTTTCTAAGCTTTCAACTAAGGAAGGAACAAAGAGCCTCAAAGCATGAGGCATTCCCCTTCAAACAGGCCTCAGCTATGTCAAAGTGAAGAAACCAATGCTTCTGCAACAGCATTTTCTATGTTATTTTCAGCATTACAGGAAGGTGGGGTTTTTTTGTTCTGTTTTCTAATTACCACAAGCGCCAAAGATGTTAGACTCCAGCTTTGTTTTTAACAAAGCAAAGACAAGGCAGATGTTGCTGAAAAGTACATTTCTGTATTAAATACCCTCAGTATCCCTGCTCAGCTTAGGCCCGGAGATTACAGCCATCCCTAGGCCTGCCTAGTCAGAATTTTCTGCCACGGGATAGTTTCAGTGATTATGTTCCTTAAATGTCTGCCTTCCCATAGAATCAGTAAGAAGTTATATTTCTTCACATTCCATTGAAATACTCTATCCAGGCAGAAGCACTCCAGGGCAGAGCAATTTGAAGTGATTCATCTTGAATTTCAGAATTAGCAGACCATGTTCCAATAAAGGGTATCTCAAGCTGTAATATCGTACTGCATACTGCAGTCAGACACTACAGTAAGTATTACAGAAAAAACACTATCACAAAAGAAAAAAATTAAATTTATTATTTTAGTGCCCCTCTGTATTTTCCTTGTCTTTCATCTGTATTTGGATCTCTCTTTGTCTTTTGATTTCTTAGGACTTCTGCTTCTGTCTGCTTTTTTATCCCAGTCTCTTACTCGGCTGTCTTCTCTGTATTTGTCCTTTTGCCTGCTGTAAGTGTAATCTCTCTCCTGAGAGCGGCTGCGGCTCCGATGCCGGTCTTTCTTCTCACTCTTGCTCCTCTCCCTGCAGCGCTCTTCGTGCTTCCGGTCAGAATCCTGGCAAAGGAATTGGACAGAAATGCAGTTACAAACAAGAGGGGAAAACACACAGAGGCACAAAGAGAACTAGAGACAAGTCGAGCATGGCTGGTTCCTTAGCTACAGCTGGTATGACCTTAAAGAAATTCACATCCACAATGATTTGAAATGCTAACATAAAAATACCCTACTGAAACTATCTGAAGAAGGTACGTTTACAAGTAAGTTTCTGTTGGTGTTTATGGAAAAAAGAATGGCTGTCAGGCATGTTTCTTGTACTGCCTAAGGAGCTGTAGCAAAAATTGGTTCTATCAGGGATTCCATTCAGGTAGGTACTATCAAACTCTTCACGAGCATCGAACATGTCTGTAAGCTACATTTGGATTTCACATTTTTTTACCTCAGCAATGCAAATATTTCCATAACTTTTGGTTCAAGCCCTATAGGCATTCCAGTACTATGCAGATGCATACTGTATTTTAAGGCCTACCTGTAATAATTCTTAATGGCCTAAATTCTAGGCTTCAGCAAAATGTACAACCTAACAGTTTAATATCACTGTATGTGCTAACACAGAGATACAATTTTATGGGGTTTTTGAAACAACACTGTCAAGCATAGATCAATATGAATTAAGAAGAATGTCTGCATTGAATCACACAGTATTTCTTTCCTCATTTCAGATATTATTTTTCTAAGGATGTACCATGACAGCAGCCTTCACAACTGTATGGTCAAAACCTATACTCCATGTACTAACAAGCAAACTTCATTTATTTGAAAGAACAGTGAAAAACAGTGAACAGAGATTTTATGCAGAAAGCCAGTGACTGGGGTGGTTCCCAGAGCAAACACCACCTTTAGAATTACATTGATAATGCTGAAAGTATTAGGGTTACTATAAGCAACACAAACCCTCTGGATAAACAGACACATGAATAATCACAGGTTTGATCTATAACAAAAACATTCTGCTACTGCTGGTTACAGTAATCTCACTGGTGGCCAAATGCCTATTCCACATCTTTACTGTCAGACTTTATTTCAGTACATATTTTAAAATCTGGATCCACCAAAGTCTCAGTGATGCTTCCAGCTACTTGTAAGAGATTTGTCCATCCATTCTCAAAATGATGCACAGTCATATTAATAGTCTGGTACCCAAAAGCATCAGTCTCCATATGTTTGAAAAAGCCAATAGGTTTCAAGCCCCTCTGTGACAAGGCCTGAGTAAATATCAGACAATGGACATGTTAGTGGAGAGGTAGACAGGAACAAGACAAAAAATATTGGTCAGAAAACCAAATGGAGGGTTTGGTGCATGGCTGCCTTCTAACTGGTTTGCATGGAGAAACAGGAGAAAAGCAGGGCAACACTGAGTTGAACAATCTACCAAGTAAACACTGGAGACAAGGCTACTGGCCAAGTGGGGGCAGGGAACAGCTTAGTGAACATTTCAAACCACAGACAAATAGGCCATGTTGAATACCTCAGAAATGGACAACTTGCTGAAAGGATTAGAAGTCATACAAGCGTTGCGTTAAACGACAACAGTGACCTTCACAAAAGCATTTAAGGTACAGGTGTACAGGACAAATCTGAATGTGACACAACTGAGTCACCACAGTAGCTAATATGATCACAATGTAAAGGAAGAAAACTGTAATTTGAATTAATATAATGACTTGCATCTTTATTTCTTGCCAGCATAAGTTACGTTTCCCCTTTAATAAGATTCTTCATTTTAAAGTCTTTGGCATGGAAAAGGGTCTATTTTAAAACCACACTAAATTACTAAAAATAATGGTATTTTGAAACCAAATTTTTATGCTCAAAAGTCAAAAACACGCTGTTTTGGAAGAAGAAGAAAAAAATTCATACTTTAAAACAGGCTCTCTCTTACTGCTGAAATTTAGATTTCTCAAATCTATGATCACAGTCTCTCATTGGTCAATGAGTAGGTGATGATCACCGCAATTCTTAATCCAGCACTGTGTTGGAACACACAAGGAAGGAAATAAGGAAAGAGGGAAAGATGCTTCTCTGGAAGTTCATGGCTGATTTTGCCAAAAGTAGTAACTTGCTAAACAGCAGTCACAGGTGAAATAGCTAGAAATATCATGGCCACAGAAGTAAAATACATATGCCACCTTTTACATACATTAAATACAGTAGTTAAAGGTTAGAAGGAGCAAACAAATATCGAGAGCCTTTTCTATGGGGAGAAATTGATAAAACTTGGCCCTGAATATGAAGGGAACAGTGTCCAATAAGCAGTAAAAGCAGGAAACCAAAACCAGAAAAATCAGAACCTCTGCCAAAACCATACTACAGAAATCTGAAATTGGGAAGTCCCTATGTCTCACAAAAATCTGTTGGATAGGCCATACTACTTCACAGATTCAGTTCTCTTAAAAAATAAAATCCAAGTGAAAATACACAGAGAAAACTGGAAGGCGAACAAAGTCATAATATAGATCTCAGGTGGAAGCATGTCCTGTATTCAAAGAAACTCCACCAAATCCTATTCACAAAACCACATGGCAGTCCACCCTTCTGCCCCAGACCCACATCCTGTTACTTACTAAAAGCAAGCCACAGCATCCTACCTCTTCTACCCACTGGAATGAAGTCAAACAGCACAAGACTCAAAAATATATTCTTGAAACATCAACACAGAGGCTGAAGATTCAGGAAGTGGGTGTCAGACTAAGAAAAGGATGAGTCAAAATATACTGAAGAAAAAAGTAACACCAGCAAGAGAACAGAAAAACAACTCAACATCATGGAAACTATTGAGAAAATAAAACTCCTTCAAGTCATAGCTAGAGTTGATAGCACCAACTGCAGCTCCAGTTGCCAGAACTTCCCATTATAAGCCCCATACCTCTCTTAGTTAAAATCTCTGCCACACTATGGACTCACGGTGGAAGTTTCTGTATGAAGCATGGCTGCTGTGGTCTTTGGCTGATGAGTTGTAGAAGGTCCACTGTTGTTTTATTTTCAAGTTCTTATCTCAAATACATTCAGTGATTTACAAAATAGAGTAAAGGCAGAATGCTTTGTTTGCCTATACTAAAAATGCTACCATTCACTACAAAGTTTTCATGCTGTTATGCTTTGTGTTGGACTCAATATTCCCACTGAATATATTCCACCTCAGGAACATGCCTGCTTCCCCTTACTTTCACATATTATGCCCGAAGTATGAACAGTAAAAAATAAAGTAAAATTTTGTATATGCTAAACAGGATTTGTCACTTAAGCTAGCTGCAGATTTCACTAGAGAAGTGATGCCCAAAATAATGAGTCTGTGTGAGACTGAGTACGTACTGCTCAGTATATGCATGATGGTCTGGCAAGAAAATGAGACCTAGTCTACAGTCATGAAATACGATTACCTACTACTTTATGACTAGGAATATGTGAACAGCAGGTTCAAAGTGCTGAAGATCCCCTACTTTATGAGAGGCTACATTGCCTCTTCAGGATGTTTTGGCAAAAAACCATCTAGACATGCCAAGCTTCAGAAGTCCATGAGGAAGCCCTCCTTCATAATCAAATATTAACATCAGCCTTCTGTGGGTTTACAACTGCTGTATGTTACACAGGACTTTGCACACCGTGTCCTTATTCAATATCACACTTTTTTCCTGGCTTCTTCTGTGAGGAAAACAATGAACAGATATAAAGTTAATGCATGAAGAGTCAAGTACCTTAGATTTTTTGGTCCTCTTGTCATCATCCTCATCTTCGGAGTGGTGGTGCTTTTTCTTCTTCTGTTTTTTAGCCAAGTGCGACTGACTTGTGTGAGACTCTTCTACATCCTCATCCAGCACAAGGTCATACTTGGCACTGATGGTGCTGGTTAAGGACAGATCTGTTTCCCAATATCAATAAAGAGCAAAACACAACAGCCCAGGAAACAAACCAATCCCTGTTTATCTGACAAGAGTTTACCAAGACTTAAAACATATTTCAGTTAGAACACAGTTGTACACATTGGAAAAAAAAAAATCAGCTGTGCTAAAATGACTGAAGTCTGTCCTGTCAAACAATACAGCCAGGCTGCATTCTCCTTTCCTTTCTACCTGTGGATATCTGAACAAGCTATGATGTTTTCTCTCATGCTTACCACAAGCAAAGTAAAATCTTAGAGAATTATTTTATTACTAGAAAGGTCTCATTTCAGATGCAGAAGGTCCCCTCTGAAACTACTTACGAACTCTGTTATGCCATATATCATTCCAGGGACATTATTTACCTGCACACAACATGGAAGTGAAACAGCACGTTTTGATTTGACTAAATTGATCAACGTGAAAACCACAAAATATAAATTCCACCTCAAACACCAAATGGTTATATGAACTAGAAGGCAAACATCCATTTGAAAGGCTTTAAAAATAAGTTTTTTCCCAGGCTGTTTTCATAAATTCTACCTAATTCAAATAGTACCTTTGAAAAGAAAAGGATACTCTTGCTTTGGTTTGGCCTTTTCTTTCAGAGCAAATTTTGAAGGTTTGTCACGTTCCTTCTCATAGTCCTTGAAATCTTCCTTGGTATACCGCCCACCTGTCCACAAAAAAAGATGTTAATTTCACTCTAACCACAAACACAACCAAGACCCACAACCATCATTAAGTTCTGGTGATGATTTAGGGGCTCTTTATAACCATAGAGAGCTCCAGAGCAGGATACAGTTCCAGAAGTACTGATCTCTGCATAACAGAGTAGAAGAGAGCAGGACAAGTTGTGATGTTCTGTCCTTCTCTTGCTTGCAGATTCCATTAAACAATACCCAGCTTTCTGCTCATTCATGTCCAGTGGAGACAACACATAAAGAGGATCACAAAGTAGGATCCAGCAGCTGGCTTAGTCTCATTTCTATTACTGGTCCTATATCACACTACTTAAAATTCTGTTACCATGAAAGCCCACAGACCGTTCTCATTATTTAATGACTTTTTGCTCTGGTATGCACTGAGAGAAACCTCTGAGACAGCTACAGCTCAAGAATTCAAATGGAAGACTATGACAAAAATGCTCACGTCTGGATTTAAAGAGGGACACGATGGATTTCAGTCCCACTCCCTGAAGCACCAACGCAGGGATCAACGGACTACGGCAACGTGCTGCCCTCTCACGGCCACGCTCAGAACTGCAACACTCACGGGCCAGAAAACATCCCCGAGGAGGAAAGGTCACTTTTTGGGTACCATACAAAACGACAATATAGTTCGCTTTCCAATATTTTGGACAATTTAGACCTCAGATAAAGTTTCCCAAGTAGGCAGTCAATACAGGATGCACCAGAGCACCTAGTATAGATAGAATACAGAGTCATCTCAGCTCTGTGCAGGACAAGTCCCAGTATCTCAGTGTTCATGGCCACAACCCTACCTGGAGAAACTGCACGCCAACAACTGAGGGCTGACTGCATTTTTAGAAGACCACACACAAGAATGTCACCAATGCAATGCACAGACACCTCTCCAAGTCCAGTGTTTTGCTCATGCCCCAGTATTCAAATAACCACTGCATCCACCTCTTCCACCACCCTTTTCCTCCCAAAACATCCTCAAACACCTGAAACTGGGTTGTAACATACAGTCTGCCATGCAGTATGTTTCACCTACAGGAGGTGAAGAGCAGAAATCCCTGGCCTGAATACTGACCTTTTCTTGTATACACCTGACTGGCACACAGTGAATAAGGAAACTAGAAAATATCAATATATTGGTATATTATTTTGCTAGTAAGTAATATATAAGAAAAAATCATGTCCAAAGTTTGAGATGAAAAAAATGTTTTAGTGGCAAAATTACATTGACTAAAATGTTAATTAGTGGCAATGCAATGTTCATGCAACAGTAGGAAACCCTTCTACTTTTTCTTATGAAACAAATGAAGGGAAGAACTAACAACTGTGTTTGCTCTATTTATTCCAGTATCAGGAACATCTATATGCTGAAGATGAGATGATTTAAACTCCTAACTCTTTATATAATACTTAGTTTAGAAGTCACAGTTTATTAAGTTATGAGGATTGAAGAATTGCAAATATACTTACCTTTTCCCTTCCATTTAATCTTTGCAACAGATTGGCTAAAATCCACATGTATCCGTCTGTCATCTATCAGCACATTGTCCATCTTGAAGTAGGCTTTCTCGCAGTCTTCCTCCTGATATTAACCAGGAAAATCTTGAGTCATGATTATTTCACAGGAATATTCACAGAAAAGCACAAACACAAATTCAACTGCTTATTGGCATACAATTCTTTCTGAAATTGCCTGAAGCACCACAGTTCTTAAATTGTACCATTTCAAAAGAAATAGTTATGCTTTGTCTGAATAACAGCATTTCAATTCCCAATTATTCAGTTCATTTCACTATTTTAAAAATTTGCCAATCCAGCTACACATCTGGCACATGTAATGCATTCAGAAAAAAAAAATAGAACTGATAAAAGTTCCATTTTAACTACGTAAGTAGGCTAAATAAAAGTGAGAAGACTTTCCAGTGTTGTCCTCGCAGATGAAAGATACCAGCACACATAAAGCTATGCACCACCAAGAGAACTATTGCCATCCATCTCACAGTAAGACTAGCAGTGTTGATACAGCAGGTATCATTTACAAGCCCAGAAGAAAAAACTACTGTACACATGGATCCATCTTATTCCATACACCATCCTTTCTTTATGCTGCATGCTCCTAGCATTCCTTTCTTCAACTCTTTGAAGATTTAATGCACTCAGGGGAAAAAAGGGCCCGATCCCCTCCCACTGGTTTCAACACAGTCTAAGTATATTTTTGTACTGGCTGCTCAAACAGAGACAGAATTACATGCTTGCCTCATTTAGGACCTACAACTTCTATAACTAAGCTATAGTTTCCCTCAGTAAGAGAAAATATTAGCTATTCCACACTTGAAGATGTCAGTGTTTTTCCTAAATGGAAGTATACCAAAAGGGGCTTTTACAAGGGGGATCTACATAGAGTTCATACCTAAAACCCGTACCTTTTCAAACTCAATGAAAGCATAACAAAGAGATTCACCAGTCTTCCAGTCTCGGATCACTTCACAGCTGAAAAAATGATATGAAATTAAAATGTCAACACTGTTGGAGCAAAAAAATTTAGGGTAGGAAAGTACTATTTAAAAGGGAGAGTAAGAGTTAAAAAAATAACCAAAAACCCCAACCCACAAAACCTAAACACCTTGAAGGTATTAAAACACCTGATTCTGAGACTCCCCTACTGCAAGAAAAAAATGCATGAGACATTGCTTTGAACAATTACACTGAACTCACACGTGGTTACCATGAAGCACAAAACTAGAGATTAATTTCTAATCAGTGAAACAAAATATATTTTCCAACATTACTCTTTGTTTTTAATTTTTTGCATTTCACTAATGCAAGACCAGAAATTTCACATTCTGTTTTCTCTGTCATTTCAAGCAAAAGTTTAACAAACATCCTATGACAAACTTTCTCTTCTTAGCATGCATCTCTTCAGCAGCCCAGCTTTTTATCACGCAGGCCACTGGGCAAAAATAAAAAGCCCGAAAGTATTGAGTAAGGAGTGTAAAATGGGAACAATATAGTATTGTATCAGTATTACACAACTCCTGTACTCGACGTAAATTCTGACTGCAGGATGCTGAAGGAGGGCACACAGGCAACAAGGACAGGATATGTGGCATTAAGGTAAGAATAAATGTGAGACCTCCCCCACATGTAGAGAGGAAGTGACAAATCAGGATCTACAATCAAAAGATGATCAAGGCTGAAAGAAAAAAAAAAAGCTGGGGGGAAAGAAAAAATAGTAGACCATAAGGCTATTCAGACAAGCTATAGGAATTTCTTGCAGCAGAAGGCAGAATGGTTTTGTGCAAGAACCCTCCCTCATGGATTATTCAGAGAACCTACCTAAAAGTGGAAAGACTGCAGAAGAGTGACAGCTCTGACAGAGGAACAAAAAGTTATAAATCCTTAGGGCATAGAGAAATCATGCTGGAGCTGTAAGAGCGGCACACAGTGCCAATTTCACCCACACAGAGACAGTGTAGTTTAGGATCTGGGAGCCTGCAGGCCTGTGTGCCAGTACTGCACAAATCGCTAGAACAAAGTTAGCATCCAGCTGAATATACAGCACCTACTCTGGACCATCTGAATAAACTTAAGTGAAATGCTCTAACAGACTCAATAGGCTCATGTGTGGTGATGATGATGATCCATTCCATTTCGCCTTTTGAAATCCCTCTGCAAATTCTAATGAACTCCTGCACCAAAGGCTTTTGGGGAAAGTAAGCGCAAGGGCGTAAGGAACATCTTTGAATTGATAAACGTGCAACAAGATAAGCATGGGTTGAACCATAACCGTATATTGTGAAAAAACCCAAAATCCCCCCAAAAAAAAACCCCAATATTAAAAACAGCTTTAGAATTCACTAGAAAAGGAGTTGAGAGTAAAACAGAGAACAAAACTGTTCCACTATAAATCTGTAATTTCTTCAAAACTGTGTGCAGTTCTGGTTCTCTCATCTTGAGATGAAAACAAAAGAACAGGAAAAGAACAAGAAAAATGAAACAAAATTATATCTCTGCTATGAAGAAGCATGTATATGTAGGTTAGTACTCTTAGCAAAGAAAAAAAATAACTTTAGAGTGTAGGATAGGGGAGCGTAGGAAAGCAGATTTCATTGCCTATCCGATCTTTTGATACCAGTACTAGGAGGAATCAGCTGAAACTACTAAAAGCCAAGGCCAAAACTGAGAAGGGCAGCAGGAATGAGGAACACCTTACAAGAAGTGTATCAGATGTTTGGTGCTTTATCCCAAACCACACATACTCCCACAGGACAGGAAAACCCAGAGTCTCTACCCAGCTCATTTGAGCATCTGACATAAAAACTGATGAAAGAAGTGACAGGATGGGGTGCAGCGAGGAGTGTCATATGCTTTCTCGGTTCCTACACTTCCTTAGGCTTTCCTTAAAACCACTGCTGGGGACAGGACACTCCTCTAGCTAGATCTGCCTTCGTATCCCCATTGGTGCGGTGTCTATCCAGACAGAGCATAAATCTCCTGAGACACCAGACTACTCCTTTACAGCCAAACCCAAACAGACTGGGAGGAAACAAGTTCAATTTCAAGAAAGAAGGTTTTCTCTTTTATCGTAATTACCTTTTAATGGGACCAAATCGTGAAAATATAATCTCCAGGTCTTCACCTGTGGTCACAGGATTCAGTTTACAAACAAAAAGGACATTTTCTGGTGGCTTGATGTCTGCATCTGGCAAGTCTCCCACCTGGGATACAGAAAGAAGACATTCATCACCTTCTGCCTAAAGCTCTCTACAGGCAACACAGCACACTGGGAACATATCTTCTGTGTGCTCTCACATTCCTATCACAAAATCAAACTTAATAAAGTATTTTTCCTACTCAGTGTCACAAAAGAAAGTGTTTTCTATAGCACCTAAAATGTATTATTTATTTGCAATTCCACTGCTAGAATTCATGAAAGTTCACAAATACGTTCTACTTTGCTTTTTCTATTCTTAGCATAACAAACAGACAGTTCTAAAAGGTAGAAGTGCACCCTTTTTGTCCCTACAAATCTTCTGCAACACTGTGGCCAGATCTGGCTTGATCTTGGAATTAGTCTCTGCTGCAAACTAGTCACCGTAAATTTGAATCTGGTAGTTGTAAGGAAGTGAGATGGATTCACTTGTCCTTCAATTCTTTATTTACTTTTCTTTTTTCTTTAAAAAAAACAAAAAGACTTCTGTTCACAATTTTTGTTACTATGGAGTTTACCACTGTACGCAGTGGAAGGAGTTTGTCACAAATTAACTCAGCTCTCTCCCACACATGCTAAAAGTTTTCCAGGACTGGAGGTATTCCAGCAGCACACTATGTCTGTTACATTTTTTAATTGGATGCATTTCTAGTAAGTTTTTAGAAAGCCTCCACTGGCCCACTCTGACAATGAAGTATCACCGGTTTTATCAGAAAACCACAACATGAGCGGTCATGCTCAATCCTTTCATTGTACAACAGATATTTAACAGCAGATTCTGAAACATGACATCATCATCAGATATGTAATTTCAGGATAAATAGTACACATCCTCCTAGACTTAACATGCACACACTAGAATAAGATCTAAAAGATAATACAGAAAGATGTTCACCATTTCCAGAAGAATGGCACGAGTTTTTGCTTCTTTTTCTGCCTGAACTTCTTCTATTTCTTCTGCAGACCGTCCTTTCATGTCATCAATTTCTTCATCTGCTCCTATTCTGCCACTCTGAAAAATGAAGGAAAAGGCTATTTATTACCAAGCCATGGCCAAAAATTCTTTCTCACTTTCCAACTATTACTTGGATGACCTTTCCCATTACCCCTCAAGACACAAAAAATGCTTAAGCACTGTAAGTCTGCAGAACTGGGGTTTTATTCTGTTCTTCCAACTTAGATTAGAACAAAAGAAAAAAAGAGAAGATGTTATCCTCACATTTCAGGCACTGTTAACTGTTTCTGAACTTCTGTGACTAGTCTGAACGATATTCAGTGAGGTATTCTAAATCCTTTTATATATATCCACCTACTCAACATCTCACCACAAGTGTCAACTCATTTCTACTCCAGGTAACTCCTGCCACAATGAAGGTAAGTAAGACTGCAAATATATGTTGTGTCTAGCAAGACATTAAACAGAGCATATAGTACAATAATAATTTTGGTTTTATACATCTATACCTAGGCAGGACTTGAGGTTTTTTTTTTTGTTTTCTCCTCACCAGCATCTCTGAATGCCTTTCTTATAGATATTTCTATGCTAAAAGGGGTATCCTCAGACAGGCTATGAGGGAAAAAAACTCAGTACAAGTCTTCACATCTCTATGCTGCTGGCAGTGAGCTACTAAAGACCTTATTCTTAACATATCTGAAGGTACATCAGAGATTAACCACTGTACACACATATTATGAAACCCTAATTTCAGTCTTGTAATAGTATTTATAAAGCTTAAAAATAAGCAATATTCTCTCTTGTTAATTAACTCATTACTTGAAACAACTGTTTCCATACAAGGGAATAATCTCACATATACAATTTCTCACATATAAGTATGTAACTGCATGCTTGCAGTTATTTTTTAGGAAATTCCTTGTGTTTGAACAAATAGCCCACAGCAGTATGTGTGCCTTCACATATAACTCTAAGAATGACAAAGATTACTTCCACTGAAACATAGCCTATTCACATTTAAAAGGAAAACAGCAGTAACTATTTCAATATTAATAAATGTTAGTTATATTTTGTCTTCTACTAGAGTATACAGAAAACCAGTAATACCAGCACTGAATACTCCGAATGTTCTGCTTATCTACACTGTAAATAGAAAACTGAAATACAGCTTTCAAACACAACTCCACCAGACTCATAGGGGAGAGCACCCAAGTCATGTTTTTATCCTTCTATTGAAAGGTTAAGCAGCTGTATTTGATTAAACACAGCAATAGCTCCAAATAACTGACAAGTATTTGATATATCAGAACTCAAGCTGGCACAGTAGAAGAACACCTTCTACATGAAAAATTGCATAGCTCTTTTAGGACACAGATTTGAGACACAAAATTTTGAAGACTGATTTCTTATTTTGGCCAAATCTGTGCTGGACACTAATTGAGATAAACTTATTTAATTATTTCTTCCAACTTTCCCCTGTTGTGAACACTCACGTCGAGCTGTTCCTTTGTAGGTTCCGGTGAGCGGTCAGGAACGCACAAGCCAGGTGGATCATCAAAGGGATCATCTAAAATTACTGTATGATTTATCCTTAGAGAAAACAAAATCAAGATCAGCACTGGTTACAGGCAAGTAAAACTTGGTTTACCCATCTAACAGCAAGCCAGCCCCACTAAATTTCAGTTGTATTACAAACAGCCAAATATCCTGTGTGCTTATAAATCCTAGAACTGATTCTTTTGGAAGGGCAACATGCTAAAGATTTCTGTACATACTTGTTTATTTAGTACTTGTTTATTTAACCACTATTTAAGATAGCACATACAGGTCACCTGACATCATGATATTAATCTAGTTTTCAAAAAGAAGTAAATTCATTTAATAATAATGTATTCCTCAAAAAGTAAAGTTAAAAGCAGTCACACCTGATATCTTGATATGGGATAAAATCCTTATCTACAAAGGTTTCATTAATTGTCTTCAATACATCCATGCCTTCTGTCACTTCTCCAAATACTGTATGTACACCATCAAGGTAATCCAGGTTTTCCCCTGTGGTAATGAGGAACTACAAAAGATACAAAACTAGGAACAGTAAATTAAAAAAAAACACAACCTGAATTTTTCTATCTTAACACACTGTCACTGAATTCAGTGTGGGGAGAAAAACCTCTTGCCAGTACGTTGGCTTACCGTGTTCTCTTACCTCGGAGAACATGGTGAGCCAATGTACAGCTCACAGCCACAACCTGAGAAAATCTCAATCTGCAGGAGCCTGTGGGTGCATCTCACAGGACTCTTCTGTGAACTGGTTTGAACTGGTAATCAGGCACAAGGGCATTGGATGAGCTGAGAGCTCTCTGCTGGGGAGGTTTGGTAAGCAAGAGCAGCAAAGGTTGTGACTGGCATCATAGCTGATGAAAGGGAGAGGCCCAAAAGAGCAAGGCTACCCTTTGTGAGCTGAGCTCAAATCACCTGTTCACCAAGCAGCATTCAGAAGCAGGTACTTTTTCATAAATTTGGCAAAAACTCCCTAGTACTATCTTTACCTAACTCCCATAGTACTATCTTTAACTACTATCTTTACCTATTCTATCCAGACTTTTTTCCTTTTGTCCCACAAACCCTTTTCTCATGAAAAACAGGATTCAGTAGCATTGAGAGAAGAACTAACACACTGACTAGGATCAACTCAAACTGGCACTGGAAAGTATCCTATCACTAATCTGAAACTATGAAAATTGATACCAGCTGAGAATTTAGTAACGAATTGTAGAGGGCACTTCATAATGGAGGAGGGAGGAAGAGGCAGATATGCACAAATAACAGGACACAACTGCTGCACCCACACTTTACAGTCTGACTGGTAACATCCCACACCTCATTCTCTCTACAACACATTTAAGTATTTGGTTTAGGTTACACTAAGCTACACTATACTTGTAAGGCAACTCCATGTAGCTCCTTTCTGGAATTTTTCTTGCCCAAGGAAGAAGCTGCAATAATGTTCCTGGGATCAGCATTCATTCCCACATGCCTACATATACACTAACAGGCTGGATCTTAAATATAAATACAAATGTAATCTCCTTTTCCTAAATACCCCAACCATGCCATTTTATACATACAATGCAGGGAAGTGGCATAATTACTTGTATATATCACAAGCTCTAGCTCAAATAAAACCCTGCCTTTTTTAAAAATTATTCTTTGATTATTAAAAATCACTCATTAAAATACATGGCTATTACAAGTAAGGTATTTTAATTCATAGAAGTGGCAATGCACCTAAAAAAATTAATTAATAATAGTGTTCTATGAGCTTTAAATATAAAAAAATCCTTTCAAAATAAGTAAAAATAATTACCTACAGCAAAAACTTTGTGTCCGTGAACAGCAAAGAGAACAAGACCACTTTCAAAAACTGTTTTATATCAGCACTGTGGTAAAAGTGCAAAACTTACATTATGAATGAACTTTCAAGCAACCATACAGGAGAAACTGTGCTATAATTTCAGTTTCCAAACTAACACAAAGTCATAACCAGAATATGTCAACATTATTTCAAAACTCAGTTTCCTTAATTTTCACTTCCATTTAACTACAGAATTTTTTGCCTGACCATTTTATACATTAGCAAAATCACATCAAAGTATTAACAGAGAGAAATAAATAAAGGGAAAAAATACAGGACTGAGTACTAGCAAATAAAATTAATTTAAGACAAGATTTGAATATGAGCATTTTAATTCCTCTATTTATAACCAAATACCCATATGCACCTGGAAAACTATGCAAAATATTTAGCTATGGTGGGTTTTGTAACATGCCTTTTGACTGTTCTACAAGAAGATGCTATTGACATGACAGTGTCATTGTTCTACAGCTTTTGTCAACTCCTGTAACTTTTTAGTTTTTTAGACATGTAACAACACCATGTGCTGACCTGTGATCCATGCTGATCACTGCCGTTGTTCACCATTGACACAGTTCCTTTCTTCTTGTGCTTGATTCTCGGCACTTTTTCTGCCTCAAAAAATCTGGCTTGATCACCATACAGTTGACTAAAAAAACATATATAACAAATACATTACAAGAAAATGGAATTTTTAAAAGTGAGCTAACCAAACATTGTAAAACTCTAAATGAATCTCAAAAAATGTTTACATTTCACATTTACATCAGGCCTTCAAATAAACCTAGATTTTACATTGCACCCATGAACGTATTTACAGACCCGTACACTTCCACAGTTTATATTACAAGGAACAACAAATATTTCTCTGGACATTTCACTTCAAGAAGCCTTTTGTGGGGTGGGAAGGGTACACTTATATATTTTTAAGTACAGTATGTAACATTTTTCTGAGGCATGAAGGAACTATACATTTTAAGTAGGTTCTACAAAAGTAAGCTATTCCACACTGTAAAAATGCAGTTATTTACATCAAAGATTTATCTCCCAAGAAAAACAGAAAAGCAGTACATCTATGTGCAAAATCAGTTCATCATACAGACAGGACTACATACAGTAATTTAGTATATGCAGGATATAGCAGACTGTAGCATTCTTTTAAATTTTTCATGTCTAACCCTGCTATCACTTATTTTGTCTCACTCCATAAACTGATGGATGCATGATCAATAACCATATTTGGCCAAATGTAAGGATAGTACTGCGCTTAAACTCATTCTGCTAAGCAGGAGCTAGCCTCTATGAATAGAGGATTAAAATGAAACTTTGCCTGGAAGAACAGAAATTCCAGTTTCATGGACTGCAGCAGAAACAAACAGGTACAAAAGATGAACTGACCTTCTCCATGCTACTGCCAGACAGGATCTGACACTCTCTCATCACACTGTACTTCACAATTTGCCATACCAGAAAGTCTTAGAAGACTTGTACCATATCAAAATAAACTTAATTTACTTATGTGCAGAGATAGGCAAGTCTGGCGAGTTTACCTACCCAGACTTGCATCTGCTTAGCACATATATAACAAATATGTTACAAGAAAAAGGAATTTTTAAAAGTGAGCTAACCAAACATTGTAAAACTCTAAATGAATCTCAAAAATTTTTAACATCTCACATTTATATCAGGCCTTCAAATAAACCTAGATATACATAGCATTGAATAATAAATGTATTCACAATGCTAAATGATTCTGTCTTCTAGAGCATTTAGTCATGATACTTTTCTTACCAAACATATAGTTATTTACCAGCTTTTAAACAGACAAAAATGTATGTACAAGTTGTTACCTATAACTTCACTTCTAAGGTCAGAGACAGAATCATGTCCAGGAAAAAAAATAGTGAATGGCCAAAGGCAGCATAGAAATTAAAAAGGTGTCTAAGTATGAAAACCAAATACATCAACATTTTTATTTCCCACCTGCAATTCTGCCCCAAGAAAGCTGAACACAATCTAACTGGAACTCCTACTCCCTTACACAAATTCTCTGCTGAGATACATATATAGATATATACATATGTATGTATCATTTTTATACATAAACACTTACCAAAATATGGATTCTCCTCCACGACCAGTTCCCATGGGGTCACCAGTTTGTATAATAAAATCCCTCTGTCACAAAGGAGAATACATACGATATTGCTTTCATGTTTGTGATTTTAAACCAACTGAAAAACAAGGAACTGAGAATACTCACCTGTACATTATAAATAAGACAATAGTTGTAATACTTGACTTTGCAGAGCTTCAGGAAATTCAGACAAGCTGCAAGAAATCATACCAACATTGACAAAGGAAACTCCAGTTACAATAATAACAGATATAACAGAGTCCTAGTCTAACGCGCAGAAAAGTGGTTTTGGAGCAGACTGTGTCGAGACCTATCAGGGTACAGCCTATAAGCGCTAAGAGAAATGCTCGGAGGACACGTAACATTTCATCCCTTCCTACAAATCTTTTCTAGCGATTCAAAGAATCCTAAACTCGGCCAGTTATACAGAAACACACCTCCCCCCCTCCGTTTCTTTTCAAACACTTGAGAAAGAACCTCACGGTGGCCCCTCGATTTAGCAAATATTACATCTGTGGCCGCAAGCGCTGACTGCATCCCCTGGCCCCTGTCCCGAGCGAGGCCGCCCCCCGCCCGCGCAAAGGGAGAGCCGGTGCGGGGTCAGGGGCCGGCCCGGTGCCGGGGGGTCAGGGGAGAGCCCGGGGGGGTCAGGGGAGGGCCCGGGGGGGTCAGGGGAGGGCCCGGGGGGGTCAGGGGAGGGCCCGGGGGGGTCAGGGGAGAGCCCGGGGAGGTCAGGGGCCAGCCCGGTGCCGGCGGGCCCGGCTCGTACCGCGGGGCCGCTCCTCCGTGTACAGGTCGATGACCAGGTCGCCCACCGTGGTCTCCAGCAGCACCGCCATGGCCGCGCTCGCCGCAGCCCGCCCCGCGCCCGGCGCGCCCCCTGGCGGCGCGGAGGACCCGGCCGGCCGTCAGGGGCGGGACGCGTCCTCCCCGCAGTGCTGAGGGCGCGCGCGGTGGAAAACGTGGAATGTGTCAAAATTAAGGCAGGATGTCCTTTGATATGTAAGTTCCTTGTATACTTTCAGACAGAACAATTCGGTTGGAAAAGAGCTTCCTCTGAGATCGAGCCCAAGCTGAGAGATAACTGGCATACACAGTCGTACCTTAAACACCTCCAGGGATGGTGAATCCACCGTGCCCCTGGCAGCCCTTAGCTCAGTCCACGCTCTCGTAAGCTACTGAGTCATTCTGAAATGATGTGCCCAAGCACAAGAAGCTGGATTTACAATTATGGAAACCTGACAGACCCAAGCGTTTACCACTGAGAGACATAATTCCCCCCTCTTCCTCACACAGCTGGCGACCATGAAGCATCTAGTTAGTGACTCTAAAATCAAAGAGGAGCAGGCATCAGCTAAGCACTGCAATAAGTGGAATCATTTAAAAAGGAAGATATTTGAATGTAATCCATCTGTTCAATTATGGAAGGTGCATAGAAATAATGAGATTAGGTTAATTCTGGTTCACTAGATAGAGCTTCCCTCTAAAGTAAGTAAAGCATCTGCTTTACTTAGTGACCTTCTAGGTTGCTGTAAGGCCCCAAAGATCTTGCTCAAGGAGTGCAGACAGTCCACGTGCTGGTAGGAGCCACACATTACAAGAACAAGGACACTGCCAGCTTGTAGCTGAACTGAGCACCTCGGGTGCTCTGGTGCCCAGGGTGGTGGAAGAACCCTGACAACAGAGGCACAGGAGGATGTGCTGGCACACTGATGAGCTGTGCAGGGCACCTCACATCCACAGAGTTCCCATCTGGCACAGCTGATGCATTCCAGTGCCTGCACTGTGCTGTAGAATCATGCTGGCAGGGAACAGCTGCTTATAGGAAACAGTACTGTTATGTGTAGTAGATATAATTCACATAATTTCTAGTATGATATATGTGCTATTGAATATTTGTTGGAGTATACACGTTTGTATTAGGAGTCCCCCCCTCCCCCCACCTTCACAGGTGAAACCTGGTGTATGTTGAAACCCGATTTACAAGTAAAAGGATGTGGCTCGTCTGAGGATGGATGCCCAGGCACTGATCATCGCATGAATGACCCAAGAGGGATTTAATGGAAAACCTCCAGACAGATACATGTGAATGCAGGGTTTTCACCAACTCTAGACATTGCCAAGAAAAGAAATCTTATCAAACTATGGGACTCTGAATAGAAGAAAGGACTGATTGCCGAAATCCTGGCCTGAGGCAGAATCTTCCCTATAAAAACCCGCTTGTGCGAGGATGGAGGTGTGTAGGCATAGAGGAAAACCTCTGCTGAGGCTGACTTCTTTGTTGCACACCCAGTGCTGATCCCAGCCTCGGCACTATTCTTTCCTTGTAGCTGGCTAGATAGAATTTGATTGCAAAATAATTTCTTTTATTTTTATTTTTAATTTGGCTGGATCAATTTTCACTTATAACACTAAAAACCCATATTTTTCTGAGGCATGTGCAGACTTTGGCTGGTGTCTTGCAGGCCCACAAACATATCTATTTGATGCTCTTTGCTCTGGTGCTGCATACTCTCTCAGACTTACTCTCTCATAGCTTACTCTCTCAGACTGTACAGGGGTGCTTGCCTTCTATTCTTCAAGTTCCCTTCGGAGGCTATGCATTGTTTCCAAACAGAATTTGTCACAAGCTGAAGGAAGCCGCCTCTTTTCAAAATCAGTACACCTCCCTGCATATGGACAGTGAAAAAGCAAAGACCAACTTTCTATCCCTCAAAGCTCAACGAAACTTCACAGCCACCCTGCCTTCTGAAAGGTTCTCATATTCCACAGACTCTAATAAACTAATAAAATGTACTAAGGGTAAAAATATTGAAGGAGTGTCACACAAGAATTACAAAATTGCATAAGTCTCAGAAGTATGTCCTAGAAGTCACAGTACAATATTTATTGTTGTTTATGCTAGCTAAAACAAAAATTAATAAGCCTCTGATAAGTCTGTGACAGTTACTAAGAAAATATTACGCTTCTGTCTCAGACATGGGCAACTGTGCATTAAAGAGACCCTAGAATGTATTTTAGTAAGTTTTCTCATTGTGTTTCTACTTACTTGTGATATATCCAGATCAACCTGGAAGATTCAAATAATATAATCATCCTCACATTCTAGATCCACTAAAGCATACATAGAACATTAATTTAGAAATAAAATAAGCAAATTTCAGGTGCAAAATTCTTTTTAACTGAGAATTTGTCACCTGTCATCATTTAAAAAAAACCCCAAACATAAAAAGTAATATGTTAATATTGCTTGCACTGTTACCGTATTAACTAGAAAATTTAAATATCCGTATTTCTTTAATCATTCCTAAGTTGTGTTAAAAATTTGTTTTGCACGAGGTATTAATACAAGCCTTTTAAAAAAAACCTATAAAATACAGAAAACCTCTAAGAAAAGTATACTAGTGTACAAACTTTACAGAAGCTAAACCCTTTTTCCTTTGAGATAAACAAGAAAGCCTCATCCTGAAGAGGTTCCTTCAAGTCCTCATAGTGAAAAAGATACCCCCTCAGCAACACCCTACCTTATTAATACTGTTCAAAGTCCATGTTTTGTTCCTATTTTTAGATAGTAATACAAAGAAAAAAAGGGGAATAAGGGTTGGGGTGAATGTGCCCGCCCCCCTTTAAGTCTTAAGTAGTATCATGTTCTCATGTCTTCCAGTCAGTCATATAACAGCACAATAATCCTGTGATATTCAGCTACCTAAACCTATGAAAAATGTGTTCCAATGGACACTGGAACATGCTGGATATGTCTGCTTATCCTGATGTCCCCTCAACAAACACCACAAGGACCAATCCCATAGAAATCCAGGACTCTCGAAGTGTTAGTTCATATAAGGACTTGATTTGTTTACAAATTATGTTTCCTATTTACAAACTGTTTTTCTGTTTACAGATTGTTTTCTCTAGTAGTTGGGTTTTTCTCTACGGGATAAATGGTTTGAAAGTTAAGTAGTTTCTTAGATTTAGAGATGAGTTGCAACCTATAAGCCTGTGACCAATGCTACCCTGAGCTCTTGCCTGGCAGATCCTGGATGTGGATGCTGCAGCTCCAGTGCAAATCAGACACATGCTGTCTTCTGCCCCCCCCGTTAGCAAAGGGCCCTTGCGGGGGGGTGACAGAGAGCTGATCACAAATGTCATCAAGACGGAAGCGTGAATGTCGCCAGGCAGCACAGCACCAGCCCGGCGTGCCCCGCCAGCCCCCGGGCTGACTGGCAGGGCCCCGCCCAGTCACAGCTCCCGCGGCCGCAGCCCGGAGGGGCGTGGGGAGCCGGCCAATGAACATGTGCACGTCGGGCTTTCCTAATGCCTTAATAAGGAAGGGCTGGGCCATAAACTCTCCCCGTGGGCACGTGGAGATCTGGGTGAGTGGTTTCTTTGTCTCTACCCCCTTCCCCGCCGCCCCTGAGCCGAGGCGCCAGGTGTGCCGCCGCCTTTGGAAGGTTCTGGAAGGCTCTGCAGTTGTGCCAGTTGCCACAGGCGTTGCACCCTGGATCTAATGGTAACTAAACCTCACCCCTCGTTCTGTTCCCCCAGCCCACGCTGGCTGTGCTGAGACCCGGGCTTGAGCCCAAACAGCCCCATGGGCACCACGGTGGGGTGGAAGCTGTTGGGAAACCTGGGGTGTTCACAGCAGGGCCGGGTGCCAGCAGGAAACCCATGAGAGCCTTGCGGGGTCGGGAGGGCCCCGTGCCTCCCGCACTGAGCCTGGGGACAGCCAGGAAAGTGTCACCATGGGCAGGGCCTCTACCCAGATTAGTGCTGGGCTTTTGCTTTTGGCCACTGTCAGAGGAGGGGACTGGGCTAGAAGGAGCCCTTGCGTGTGCATGACGCGGTTTTATCAAAAATAAGGAAACGTGAAATATGAATTTTACTCATTTATTCTTAAGAGTCTTTGCTGTCATCATCTCTGATGAAGATAGGGCAATGGTGAGTCACAGCCATAAAAATGAGATTGTGAGACCACTTCAGATGGAAAATACTTACAGCCATGAAATCAGAGTAATCGGGAAATCTGTGCTGCTCAGCTCCTAAGTGTGAAATTCTACTTGGTAGTCTGCAAGTTTTAAGGTGGAAGAAGAAAGAAAGATTTTGTTCAGATATTTTTTTTGTGTGTAGATAAGGACATTTTAAGGCATGTAAATTTAGTCATTCTTTTTTCAGTTTTATTGGGAACTTTGAGACCCAGTACAAGGGTTAATGTCTTAAATTCAAGGACTGACGAAATGACACAACCAAGGTCACTACTGTACATTAAGATGTGCACTGTAAGGTACAGTACATTAATCATCAAAGCTGGAGACTATATACTAGATGAGCTCTATCACAACATCAATCAGTTCAGAGCTTACACAGTTGAGTTATGACTTCTGAGAATCAGAGACTTTCTCTTCTGCAGTGATATTTGCCTCTTTTTCAGCTGACTTCACAATTAACCAGACTTCTCCAGCTCAAAAATATACTTTTTTTTTTTTAAATTTAATAGCTGTGTCTCTAGGTTTCTGAGACTTTCAATTTCTTAAGATACTAAGAGACTTTCTAGATCAGAAGATTGGCCCTACCTTTATCACACTGCAGTGCTGGATGTAGTAAAAACCCCCTAACATCAGAAGTCAAAAAGCAGAACAAAAAAAACACTGCTCATCAGATAAAGCAAAAGAAAAAAGTTGATTTAGAGTCTGCTTCTACAGAAGGCCTCACTCCTCTATGTACAAGTGATTATTCAAATACCTTGCTGACAATAGATATAATTATTTCTAATTATTCTTGATTAAAGTCCTGGATCTGGGTGGTTACATCTTGATGTATGCATCATAAATGCAGGAGATATGGCCTAGATGAGGATGAAAAGTCATTTTATTTTTCAGTTTATTAATTTTTGCTAGATAAAAGGACTCAGAAAATTTAATTTTTATGATCCTAAACAGAAGCTCACTGACCTTGTCTTTGTTACATTTCTTTTTGTAAGTTAAGTAGTAGAACCTCTTCAGTTATGGAGGTGAAACTCACTGTGTTTTTTAATGTTTAGGAAGGCTAAAAAACACCTTAGAGTTGTGTGATTGACACGCAAATAATGTGTTTACCGTCTACAAAATCAACTCTGTAGTGATGAGTAGGTTATTCCTAGGAGAATATAACCACTGGAGAAGCAGCAGTTAATTCAAAGTAATTTATCTCAAATTTACAAAGGAATTTAAATTTCACGTTTCCTTCTCTTGTACATTCAACTGTGTTTTTACTACTGTTTAGCATTTTACAATTTCACTGGTGCTTAGAAGATTATAGTATGTATCAGGGAAACATCTGAACTTTTAAAAAAATTTTTTTACATCTTTATTAAAAGCCATGACAAAGCTACTGGGTCTGATTCTGCTACAGCAGAGAGTAGTGTAGGCTGGGGCTGACTGCTGAAGTCAAAGCATTCTGCAAGCAAAGTACAAAACTGATTGTAAAGGCCTTTGGTTAAGACCATTTTTATTAAAAATGTGCATTGATTTCAGTGGTGTTGTGTCTAAGAAGATTGTATCTTCAGACATGAGGGAGTGCTACATCTAAACAAAATAGATCCTGTCCACCAGCAGCTTGCAGTATTGGGTGTATTCCTACAGCAGCAAGCAGAAACTCACTGCCAACTTAAGACTGGAAGTATCTGACAGCAAATTGCTATTGCAGAAAAATTCTGCTGGCTAATGAGCTGTAGTTAATACTTACATGACAAATATGTTTCTGTTTATTAATTTTCTTTGAGGTAATGAAGAAAAATCTCCATGTGCATTTACAAACATGTAATCACATGTTAACTTCTGTCCACTTTTATTGTAAGCATGTCAGGCTGCACAAGTAAAGCCCTTCAGGAAAGAGGTGAAAATAGATGAGACCTGCTGAAACTCCTTTTGCATTCTCTTTCCTCCAGAAGCCTTTCCAACGTGTACAACTGCCCCTTCACAAAAGCTTATCTGTCTAAACAGAACCCATTGAGTCAAACCACAGCGCTCATTAGGAGATGGATAACAGGGCTGTATCTGCCCTGCTGGGAGAGGATCAGCAAAGGAACAGCGACAAAGATGTCATCATGCTAGAAAATAGTGTCACGACCTGTGCTGGCAGAGGAAAGTTCTCAACCAATTTTAAGGCTCAAAGTAATGAAAATGTAGCTGCAAAGCACTCTCTGCAAAGAGTTTTCTCACTAAGTCATGCTAACCAAGAAGACAAAGTACTTGCTTCTAAAATCTCTGATCCTCTTAAAGTTACTGAAGAACCTCGGGCACAGATCTTAAAACCTGATCTAGAGATACCACATCAAGCCAAAGCCACATCAATACCACTATCTTTTTTCCCATCTAAACTACAGCAACTCCTTGTAGCTACAGCGAGAAGTGTCTCTGAAGCAAGGCAAGCTACAGAAACACAATCTGTAATTTACATATGGCCAGTAATAAAGGTGCAAGAGAGTTCTATATCCTTCTGGCACAATTTTTCAAAGTCTTTAATACGAAGCAGCCCAGACTTAACAAGACACTGTTCTAGTCCTGAAGTAACTGAATATGAGAAATGTTCCCAGATAACCCCAGTGAAAGAGCTTGCACAAGAGGAGCCAGACAGAAAGACGTCAAGATTCTATCCTCTTATTGTAAAGTCATGTAACAGTGCTGTTTCAGAAATTTTAGAGTCACTCACCAATATCAAGAATAAGGATTATAAGAATATGTTAACACTTTCATGTATTAGTCCTATCAGAGAGCAATTGGAAATTCCTCTCTTTGAGGGAAATGCTTTAATGATCTATAATCATCAAGTCTACATTCTGTATGTAATGAGGCATGAAGATCTGGCGGCAGAGATGAAAGTATCTGGCCACCATATGTTGTTTATGAAGACTGTTGTTTGGCTTGTTACATGTCGCTCTGTTCGTAAACTAACATTCCAAGATGCACATCCACTGCTGTTGAGAGAGCATGCTGTGAAACACAACATAAAATGTCTTACAGCCTGTGCTACCCCTACAGCCCAAAAGAAAACATCAAATGAAATACATTTCTCTTCACACAAGAGGACTGCAATCTCTCAGGCTGAGAACTGCTCCCCTCTTGCTGGGAAAAGGCAGCAGGTGGTAACCCATGATGATCAGGTGAGCATCTGTGTATGAACAGTAAATTGCTCTCTTGTTATACATAGCTGAATGCAAAGTGCAGTATTCAGAATATTGGTAACAGGCTGTGCAAGATGAGTGACCTGGGTTTTTTTCAGTGTTCTGTTTTTTTCAGATTTCAGTTTTAGCTTCTGGGGAAGCTCAACAGAAGTCCCGTGTATACGATCACTGTAGAGGAAATCAAATTAAGGCTTGCAGGCCTGTAAGACTTCACTGTTTTAAAAAAATATCATTACATAATGCTGAGAAAAAAGTACAACTTGAGTTATGCGAAGATTTTTCTAGTATTTGAACAGAACAGAAGCATCATGATCCATTGCTATTTAGAGAACAGTAGGGCAAAATTTAATATAATAGCAAGATATTTCCCAAGGGAGAAGGTTGGGTTTCTGAAAACAGGTGATGAGTGCCATCATGATCATTTTTTAAAGTAACAGTGGAAGCATAGAGAAGGGCTGGCATGCAAGATCCTTCCTGAATTAAATTCTTCTTGCAAAGCCACATGCCCAAAGTATGTGACACTGTAGGAAAAAAACTGTGAAAATAAACTGGGGTTGGAAGAAAATGACCACTCCACACTCACTTCCTGTTAGTCAAGTTCTACTCTTTCCCATTTCAGTTCCTCAGCAAGACTGCATTCCCATCCAAAGAAGACTTGCAGAAAAGAAATGATGAAAAAGCGCGTTGGGATAAAGATAAGAAAATAAGAAAGAGATTTGGTCTTGTTAAAGGTGTAAGAGTTGTTCTCAACAGGCTAAGTGCCTCAGAGCTTAGGAAGTTGACCGCCGAACCATCTGCACTTAAAAAACAAGGTAACCATTATGACAGAGAACTAAGGGAAGTGCCACACGTACATACCTCTCTGTACACAAATATGGAGTATACTTCACCTTGAAGTATTTATTACACAGCATTAGTATAAATTTCAAAATTTTTGAGCATTTAACCCATAACATAAAACATTTTTTTGTTAGAGAACTTCACTACAGCTACTTCTAAAGTGTCAGGATCTGGTGCTTCCCCTCCCCCCCTGCCCAGGACTTTCTCCAAAAACTGCAGATAAAATGCCAGCTACTGCTGAAGTCTTTTCTGACTCTGCCTTCTCTTTGGAATTCATGCAGCTGCAATGGAAAGTAGAAAAAGTGCCTGCTGATCTTACTGATAGTAGTGGTTTGCAGTCTGTGCGCCAGTGTGTCTTGTGGGCGGAAACAGGAAGCTCTTCATGCCTGTGCTGGGCTCTTCCTGGTTTGAGCATTGCTCTTCATTTCAAGTGAAGGTGCCAGAGGCCCAAGCCACGTGTTTATAGTCATTGACCTGCTTTTGAGAAAGTCTTACCCTATGGCTTTGCTTAGAAGTACTATTTGGCAGTTTTGCCTGGTATCATCAGAGCCTCTGGGAACAGGTGTTTGCTTTCTCTAGTCCCTGACATTTTAAAACTCTCAGTTCATATTCACCTTTTGTGTCCATTTTATATTTTTCTACAACAAAGCTCTTAAGATTTTTTCAGCAGGTAGACTGGACATAAATTTCCAGAATCCTGTATAATTTCAATATACTTTTTTTCAAGTGATCAGTAATAAATCAGCATTTCTCCTCAATCTGCTTATTATCTCATATCCAGCACTTAACTTCCATTTCTGTCAACTGGATTTTAAGCCATCATCACCCAGCCTTTCCAAGATCTTTGACAATGGTCTGTTTTTGTTGTCTCTAGATGGGGAGCATCATTGATGTGTTGTCAGCATTCATGAAAATATACTATGCCTTCTTGTGAAATATTTCAAGGTCAGCTAGAGCAAAACTCTCAAAAGAATATGTTAAACCACAGGTACAGCTCCTGGTTTATTTTTTCCTTTGTGCTAGTCCTCAAATGAAAGTAATAAAATTAGTATTGGCTGTCATTTCTCCTAAAATTTCCTTTCCAGTAAATATGCCAAGGCAGACCCTTAGGATAATCAAATTTTTATGGTGTTTCTCCATTTATACATGTTATAATTTCTCAACATGTGTTCAGAAATCAGATAAGATCAAGTACCTAGCAAAATGTTTCATTTTTGGCTGATTTATACAAATGCTTCCACTTGCTTTTGAGAAGTTTCAGTTACACCTGAAAACTACTAATTACAGTGTTATTAGTAGTTCTCATTAACCTGAAGCGTTATTGTGACTGCTTTTCAATATTTTCTGCTGCCATGTCTTTTCCTTTGCAGATTACATTCATTTTATTACATTCTATCATTTCACACAGACCGTGTACTTTGCATGTAGTCATTCAAGTAATAAAAAGATGTTACATCCTCTCTAAGTTGTTGCTCCTCATTTCTATCTTGCTCGTGTTTCTTACATGAAAATTGAGCTCATGTAGAGGTTGTGACAGTGGGATTAACCTACATCTGTTGAGTCTTGATGGAGGACCTTTCAAATCCAAGTACCCGTGGCTAAAGGCAACACCATATAAAAGTGTTTTGTTTTATATGCAAGACATGATTTACAAGAATAATAACAGCAATTATCAAAGAAACTGGAATATCCAGAAAAAAAAGCATCATAGTCCAACATGGAATGAAATGGCAGAATAATTGGTAAGGATATAATTGAATACATAATACATCTACTATTCAATACATAAACAATAGTTAGTATTCAAAGAGGGAAGAGGTTGATGGAGTAAGAGAAGAATGCTAAGTAGGTTACATCCAGAGAGCGAGAGAATGACAGATCCCAAAAAATTGTGGAACTTGGAGATAGGGGAGTAAGAATTACAAAGTATTGTAAACAGCACAAATTATTATTGGATATTACAATGTAACACAAACAATGCCTAAATTATTTACCTGATTTTGGTATTCTGTATGATGATTCATTCTAGTGGATGGTAGTGTGCTTCATCAAAATACTTTGGTTTAGTCCCATTACCAAAATACTTAGGAGCACGTACCTTTGTTGGGAGCTCTAATAGGCATCCTGAGGGAAGAGTCCTTCACTTTCAATCACATGATGATAAAGCTGCTGAATTTGCCAACCGTTGCAGCTTCTGAGTTCACCCTTTTGGCCAGGGGCCAAGCTCCTTCCACCTTCTACAGTTCCTCCTCCCCTGCTGTGTGGAAGGCCTCTGTCCTCTCCCACAAGAGCCCCCCTCACCACTTAGAGCAGGCGCCTCCTGCTCTAAGAATGGCTGCTATAAACGTGGGAAAAAGCATGAAAAATCTATTGCCTGTGTTACATGTGATGTGAGGGATATACTTAACCTTTGCTCCTGGCCTACATATTTTTTTGATTTTTAACTATAGATTTGTTGATTTAAAGACCTATCTGGACTTTGACAGAGTAAATTCCCTTCCAACTACAGTAGTCAGATTGTTTCTGGAGCTGTATGTAACACCATCTGTTAAAACAGTCTGATTTATCCAGCTATTTAGGAAGAAGTGGTGTTAGGAAACACATTAGGAATTTAAATGTAGGTAATTCCTTTCTGTGCTTCTCATTAAATCAATCATTATAATCCACTAACTTAATATATTTCCTTTGTGTACAGAAACTCCAAAGTCAAGAAGCACAAGTGTCCTGAGTTTAAATAAGAGGATGAACTCATCCAAGTTAGAACAGAGGGCAGCCAGGAAAGGAAGTCTCCTGCTACATGGAAACTTCATTTTTTCAGAATTTGGTTTTAGTCTGGATTAGATGAAATCTTTTTATTCTTCCCAGTTTTCCAGGCAGCAGGAAGCTGCTCATGGAATGGCTTAGCTAAGCTCCCTCTATTACCAACAGCAAAGCCCAGTATCAGCATCACTGAAGGCTGGGGCTTCCCAGACTCCCTGGCCAGCCTCCCAGGCGATAGCTGTGGGGTTACCTCAGGATTCTGGACATTCAGCAAAAGTTCATCAAGTGCAAGAAATTTTAGACTCAAAAACATGGACTCTGTCAAATAAAATTTGTTCCATGAGGAAACTTTATACCTAATCTTTTCATCTGGAAGCTGTGTGTAAGGCACTGATTTTCACAACACAAAGGAGAAAGGCAGTGTGTGCAGAACCATTTGTGTTATCACCAAGAACAATGGGAATTGAAGTTTCAATTTATGGAAACTCCTGCAACATACTTGAGTGTCAGGAATCTTTTTCTGGTCTCTCTTCAAGTGTGATGTTCTGAGAGTGGCTGAGCTTCAGCTGGCTGTAGGCCAAAGCCACTGTTCCATATGAGACAGTGCCCAATCACACCTTACTGATTTTTTTGCCCCTTACGAACACAACACTTTTCCACTCCTTAGGGTGGAAACCACAGCAAGATGTTCCTTTTGTACAGAGTATGTTCTGCACCCAGCATGGGAGGGTTCTTTAGCACTCAGCTGACACTAACAAGAAGAAAATACATGTAATACCTCCCCCCACAAATTAAAACCATTATCAATATACATAATTCTGTAACAGGTTGTTACTGAGTTATATATTATTTTGGAGATAGAAGGGATTTTTTTGTTTAATTAGCAGTCCACCTCTGGGGTAAGAGTATTACTCATTGGCATGAGATTGAGGTCTATACTATGAAGCTAGGGAAAATTTAAGGTATTTGTAATCTTGACAGAGTACTAAGAAATTATGTACAAGATGATATTTGTAGTACTTGTAGATTTTCCAGTGCACTCCAGAAAGGTGCAACTACCCTGCAGGGCAGGGTAGGGCAGTTGTCCTAAATAAACTATAACTGAACTTGGGCTGCACATATATCCTGGATTGTTTGAACTTGCATCTGATATTCTGTATTTTGCAAAAAATGTTCTGTGTCTCTTAAAGACCTTCATGTAGGAAGACCTCCTACAGCCCTACTTTCTACTGCCATCTGGTGGGAAAAAATATCACTCACTGCGTGCTTAAAGCCCAAATCATTCTGGAACACACTCACATTTTCTTCATCTCTTTCTAGAAGTACCCCAGGGAATAAGCTCCCAGCCTCTAAATTATTTTCTGCCTATCAGGCAAAAACAAACATCCCCTGTAGGTTTGCACAGACCTGACTGAAGTTTTTTGATTTTTCATTACGATCTGTCACAGCGTGGTTAAAGCGAGAAAACATCTTCTATGAAAAACTCCACCTTCTCTCTCTTCAGACTTGCTTCTCATGTGCCTGACTCAGTGCTGATTGTGGAAACCACAACCTCCCATTTTCTTTTTTTTTTTTTTAATAACCCTGAAAGGCCAATCAAACAGTATGCAAAACTCTTATAACTTGGACACTTTAATTTAGAAAACAGGAACAACATGTACCTAAATCAACAGTCTTATCTGGAAGCTGCAAAAGAGCAGATGCAAGCTGCATAAAGGCAGGTCACTTCTTGTTGCTTAATTTGATCATCCATGGTAAAAAATATTTGGTTTCAACTGAGAATAAAATCAGTGTTTTGTTTTCACACTGCAGGAACATTTACAAAGATGAGTAGTATGTCAGACTGCATGAACAATGGATGATTGTCCTTTTCTTAAGTACCAGAATGAAGGGTCCTTGGATTAAGCTACTAACAACAGGAAGGTTCAGAATAAACAAGTGGAGGTGGTTCCTCATGCCACGTGTAGCTAAGTTGTAGGAATCACTGCTTGCAGGCTTTTGCAAATACTTATGTTTATACTGAAGTAAAATTAAAAATGCTATTTTTAATTATAATAGCATAATTTAAAATGCTATTGAACAGAGCCGTAGAAAGGTATCTGAGGGTATTAACTGCTATCCCTGGCTCAGGAAATTATTGCACTTCAAATGGCAGAGGATGGACAAGTATAATTTCATGTTCTCATACACTCCCTTAGATATTTTAGTAGTGTTAGGACAAAAAAGTTTGGGTCAGACCAAAGATCCATTTAGCTCCATAGTGTGTTCCCAGCTTAGGCTGGTAGTAAAGGCAGAGTTGGAAGGCAGTTCTGGCTACAGGCAGTCAGTGATACTGGCCACAGCCACAAACTGGAAGGCAACTGGACTGAGATGTCAGTGATGCTGCATGAAGATCACTGCTGCCACCAGCAAGAGACCTGAGGCAGAGGAGGGAGAGAGACACCAACATGGCATGTGCACTGAAGGGACTGTAGGTCAACCAGGAGACTCCTTGGTGTGTGCAATTTACACAGTTCTCAGAAACACAAAAAATAACACATGGTAAACCTTCACCTTGATTAATTTTATTCTTGTATCATTACTAGGTGTCTGAACAGATTTCAGTCTCCTTGAATTTATTCATTATTCAAAGCAATCAGACAAAAATCATCTAGTCCATAATGTAAAAGTACATGCACTAATCATAACATACAACTATATCTTTTAATGGAGAAATTATCTTCTCAAGATCATTCTTCTAGAAAGAATATTCATAGGCTATCCCCAGTTCTAAGCATAGTAACTAATAACATCCACTTCTTTCTCTTTGGATTTCAAGATACTAAGCGTATTCCAAATGAGGACAAAGTAGAACTGTGCTAATCACTGCACTAAGTACAGATGAGAAATTTAGCACCTCTTTTTTGTAGATATTGTTGAATATCCCATCAGAAGTGAATGAGGCTCCAAAGGCACCCAGGTTGACTGTGACACAGCTAGGAAATTAATCCAGAGTCTCAGAGTTCAGTTTTCACATAAGGGCAAACCCTTCTTGTGGTAATTCTTCACTGGTAGACAAAAGTATCACTTTATAATGATTCTGATGCCAGAATGCTATTAGCCAGCTCACAGTAGGCTGGAACCAACCCAGGTTAGTTTCCTGTGCTTGCAGTTATGGGAAACCAAAAAAAAAAAAAAAAAAGAAAAAAAAATAAAGGAAAAAAGAAAAAAAAGAGCCATATGAAAGTGTCAAGATGGCCTGGTCAATGGAGTTTAATGGATGGTAAGAATATCTTTGCCAATTGTCAAACTGCACTGCATTGGAGGTTGTGTTGGCCCAAGAGAAGGGAAGGCAGTTTCATGTATCAGTATCCTCACCAGTGGGACTTAAAGTGGGACTTAATGTGCATAGGACATGGATTCTACTCCTGTTCAGGTAAAAACAATCTTCAAAAGATGTTCTGCTTGAATAAAATCTCTCCCAGAAAGAGATTTAAATCTTCATGGGATAAGAGGAATCAGTCTAGGCAGCTGGCTATCTAGTTTTTCTTCTGTGAGTCCAGTGCAAGTCATTCTTGATTAGCAATTCTCTCACCCCACTTCCTCTTTCTGACATTACCATGATAGACACTAACCACTATGGAGATGTATGTTAGAGAGTCAAAATGTCTACTCATATTTAGGCAGTTTGCCACCATCTGTCACCAAGCCCATTTTGGAG